TTACCTACTTTTATCCTCTTCACCAATGATCAGCTCGTTAGCCGCTTAGACGATCGGTGACGTCTCCATTGCTTTTCCTTTTCTTTTAACCTCTTCACCAAATGATCGACTCGTTAGCCGCTTGGTAGATCGGTCACGTCTCTGTTACGCACTGTTGGCAAGTACTGGGCATGCATCGGCTCCTGAATGTACCTGAACCTGCTCCAGTGTTAGTCAAGTTTGATCTTGAAAGAGCTCACACTCGGTGCCGTCACAACACTTTCTGATAAATTGTTCCAAGAGTTCACAACTCTCACTCCAAAAGAGCTTGCCCTCACAGTTTTCTGGACTTGCGACTTCTTCAATCTTGAGCTGTGACCCCTTGTGGGGCGAGCGTCAGCCAGCTCCAAGTAAGGACACTCAACTGAGTAGTGCCCCGAGATGCTTATACACCTCAATTAGGTTACTCCTTGCCCGTCTGTAGTATAAGCTAGGCAAGTTCAGGCGCTCCAATCTCTCAGGGTAGCTGAGGTGCCGAAGTGCGGGCACCAGTCTGGTGGCCCCCCTTTGAACATTTTCAACCAACTGACAGTCCCTAGCATATCTCGGGGACCAGACCGGGTGACAGTACTCCAGATGGGGAAGCACTTCACTCTTGAAGATCGTAACGAAGAACAGACAGTCCAGATATCTGAACGACCTTCTTATAAGACCCAATAATTTATTTGCCTGATTTACCTTCTTCTCGCAATGGCCCGAGAACTTCAGCTTATTATTATTATAATTTTATTAATTTTATTGATTATTATTATTATTATTATTATTATAATTTTTATTTATTTTATTAATTATTATTATTATTATTATTATTATTATTATTATTATTATTATTATTATTATTATAATTATTATATTTTCGTCCGAGAGGCCCTGATGTGGGTCAGTGACCTGTGCCCGGGTGGGCTAATCCCCCGTAAAAAAAAAAAATATGTGTTGACATAATGAACAGTAACACCAAGAAAGGAAATCATCTGTCAATTTGTCCAAAGATCAAGTGTTAAATAATTTCTTCTAAGCTCCTTCAGTTCTACTCTCAAAGCAGCTTCCATTTTGCATATGTATTCTGGGAGAAGAACATTTCTGATGGTGGTTCAGGCAGGAAACACAAGCTTTGGCTCAGCCTCATGTAAAAATCACAAAAAGTGGAACTCTCAGCTAAACTAAGAAGCAACTGGTCTGATGCAAGTGAGAAAAGCAGCCCGATGCCATCCGCTGATGCTTTTGGTCGAAAATGCTCACTATTCTCAGTCATGAAGAATGAATGCATCGTCACCGTGGCCTGTATCCCCCTTGACAGTCTTTACAGAAACCGTGCGATTCAACTGATCACGTGATGTAAACAGAGAGCGCTGGTGTAAACCATTATTAGTCCTCACTGCGAACATTCTTTTTACTTATTCTTTTCATACAGTATTTATGGGTAACAGATAAATTTGCAAAAAATAAAATAAAAATTTACAGGGTAACTCTCAAAAAAACATTTCAAACAAAAGACACGAATCAATTAAACATGTGATGTCAAACGTGAACTGTAAACATTGCATTACCCAGTGCCCGGCTTAAAACGTTGAGGATGGAATCACGCTATAGCCAACATTAGTATGCAAAAGTTTGTGTTTTACAAACAGGGCCTATTCATCAATCACATTACAACCAATTCGTGTTAACAAAACATGCGTTGTAGCAGAAATGACTGAAACTGGTATGAGGGCTGTGATATCATTCAAGACAGTGGCCAGCATTCAGCTTGCTGGATCTCGCAAAACTCACAATATTTTACGCCAAATATAAGGCTTGGTTACATTAGGTAGTGCTAGCGAAAAACAAAAATGCGAAATGAAATCACACGAAATTTGAGATCTTACAATACAGTTGTCCCTCGATTAACGAACACAATTGGTTCCACAGAGTCGTTCGTTAACCGAAAATTTTGTTAACTGAATCTATTATTTCAATGGCATATTGGGGAATTGGTTCCAACTCACAGAAAAAGTATACATACAAAGTACTGTATAGTGTACTGGTAATAGAATTAACAAAACATTAAATATAAACAAAATACTGTACTGTACAGTACTGTACTGTACAGTATACTGTACAATAATAAATAAAAACAATAGAATACTTTATTTTAACTTACTTTGAGGTGTGCATGTTGTGTTCCCGGCAGCTTTGTTTACATATTAAACCGCTGATTGTAGAGGCAGTCGATGATGACATGCCATATTCTTTACAGAGTGCTTTGGTTCTAATGCCTTTCATGTTTCATAATAATTTCTGCACTGTATATTATCAATATGTGAACTAAATTTCAAAATGATCAATAATTTTAATATAAAAAATGCAAAAATATTAAAGAGCACAATTTTCTTGATATTTACTCCACTGGAAACGAATGTAAACATAGAACAGATTACTGAATTGGCGGACTAGCCCATCAGCTGATGCTCACAACAAAACATGTTTGTCTTAAGGATTTTGTTAATAGAAGTTTTGTTCGTTAACCGAATTGAAGATCCTTATGGGAGGTAATTCATTAACCGAAATTTCATTAATCGAACCATTCGTTAACCGAGGGACCACTGTACATGGAGAAAATAAGTACACACGGAGAATTTGCCTTAACATCAGAATTCTCTGATGCAAAATTTAGGAACTACTTTTGACTAAGCAGACAGCAGTTTGATGATGTGAATAGTATGATAAGGAGTGGCCATTTGTTCAGAAGGATGTAATGCCCAAAAGCCTATTAGAAGTAAAGAAAAATTTGCAGTTTTCTTAAGGTAAGTGTTTATTAACTTCCCCATTAACAACTTAAGTTAACTTAAATAAATTGCAAAATAAAAGGAATAAAAAAATTATCTGGAATAAACATGATCTTTCTTACGAATCTAAATTGGTTTACCTAAACGATTTATGACACTATAAGTTTGGTAAATTGCAGATAATGGAGAATTCCTTGAACAAACATTATTTTATTTATTTTTATTAAATATTATTGCTTCCGTTATCAGTTCATGACAGTATGGAAACTGCAGTAATAAAAAAATAATTCTTGAATAAACATTAACTTCCTTTCTTGAGATTATATATTATTGTTTCTATGAGCAATTTATGACAATCCAGGAAAATACAGAAGGTAAGGAATTTAAAAATTCTCTGGAATAAACAATACATGATACTTTCTAATGATTATGTATTAATGATAAATTATAGTTTATCAACTTTGAAAACAATAAAATACTAGCCATTTTGAAGGAATAAACATCAACAACTTTCATGAATTTCATTTCACAAAGCAAAATAATTTGAAGGGAACGGATTCATTATATTGTATCATGATTTGCAACTTCAGAAAGAGATTGTGAATTATCAACAGCAGGTGGATGGACAGGTGTACTGGCACGAGAGTTAGCAGAATGCGAGATCGAATGAGAGGAATGACCATAGGGATATGAGGGAATACACCTAATAAGGCTTCTTCAGCACATAAACTAGTCGAAAAACTTCCTTCTTGACCATATGTTGAGATGCTAGTGGCATTTTAGCTGTTGTTGAATACATGGTCATAAAGAAATGATACAGTGGATCCTGTTACTCCTTTCGTTATTTTTCCTCCAGCTGTTTCCTTGCAAGTGCTCTCTCCTGGGACCTCTCTTCATGCCTTTCCAATGATTGCTTAAGCAGCGCAGTTACATAAATTTTCTTCTTCCGGCTGTCTTCAGTCTTCCTTTTCTTGTGTTCCCTAGAATAACATGAGCTTCCTTAGCTAGTCTGACTGCAATCATTATCATAATTTACATTGCACGGAACCCTATTTTCACGTTCAACAACAGTGTTTTCAGTGAAACTTTCTTCATCTTCTGATTGTTTATCGTGTTCAATTGTTGGTTGAAAGTTGCTATCATCATCAACAACATTTGAGCTAGTTTCTCTGTTGGACGAATATGGTACCAAAAATTCCATCTATTGCTGGTATTTCCAATGCTTTATCTCAACAGCACGTGATCCACTTGTACCCTTTAATTTCTTTTGCCTCCTGAGGGCGTCACGATGACAATTCCGTAATTTCAGCCATGCCTCTTTCGCAGCAGTGTCTGCAATTATTATAAAATAAACAGGCATACTAAAGAATAAAGCAAAGAAAATAATATGGAAGACAGTTAGGATGGACAATAAATCAAGAGTGATTTATTTATCTTCAAAGATGTTTGATTGCCAAATATTTTTCAGGTACTTGGCAACTGGAGATTCTTATAAGGGTGTGTCTTCACTTGAGCATTTTGGCCTGAACGAACCAAACGGGAAGACAACACATGAATGAACCAAATGAGCAGTTCGAGTGCAAGCTCTCTGTATTCTGCATGTTCGACGGTGCTCGTCTTATTCCCACCGTTTTCCACAGTTGAACCCTGGATCTCAAGGTGGCAGCAGGTGCATTCTTCATTATTTACTCCTTAGCCAAAAGGAAGAAGAAATCTAGGAGAGTGTGGTTAAGGCGACTATATTCTGGACGGAAAAATATGTCCCTGTTGAGTGAAATGGATCATGGCCATTTGAAAAACTTTACTCAAATGACACCAGAGGACTTTGAAACATTAAGTAACCTTGTAGGACCAAGAATTATAAATAAGGATACAAAATTCCGAAGAGCCATACCGGTCAAAGATTGTTTGGCTGTAACTACGCTTTCTAGCCTCAAGGGGAATCCTATACCAGCCTGCAGTATTTATTCAAGATAAACAAACATTGCAAAAGTGTGATAATTGCAGAAACATGCAAAGCTTTGATTGAAGCCCTAAAGGATCATATAAAGGTAACACAAAAACATTAATGATGTAATAATAAGGACCTCATTAGCATATTAATATGTTGGTACAGTATACATAAATACTACACGTGTTTGTAAAGTTGCAGGCTACCCTAATAATGTGTGTAGGAAATAAAGTAATAAACAAAAATTATCTAATGTTCACATGTCTTTATTCAATGTTATATATTAGGAATACAAAGGAACTCTTATTAACTCATTCATGCCAATACAAGTCATTGTGACTGGGACTCTGCCTGGGATTGAAATTGAGTTTAGGGGGGAGGAGTGGGTGCAGGAGAAGAGTGAACCGAGTGTGATTCAGGAGTAGGTATGGAATGGTATGAACCTAGTGTAGGAATGTTGGAGGCTGTGGTGGGACATGCGGAAAAAGGTCTGGTTTCCATGTCAAATTGTCCCATATCAGCATTAAATAGTGTGTTATTCATGTGGTGTTGGACTATGGCTCTCGTTCTCTTACTATAGTTTCTTAATTTGTTGGCCACGTGTTGCCCATAGACGCCACACTCATCTTGTTGCGAAGAAGCACTTGCAGCAGCACCTTTTAAGATGTTAAGAGCTTCCTCTATTCGTGGGTCCTCTTCTGATTCAGCCTTCTTTCGTTTAGGCTCTTTCTTTGCCTGTGTAGCTGGTGGTGACTTGATTATCTGGGTGGTATCATTATTGTCTTCTCCATCGTAATGCAGCAGTGACTGCACGTTGGTGTCATCAGCTGGTGTGTCTTGTTGGCTCAATGTCTTTTTGGCCTCAAAATCACTTGGAATCCCATCCTGAAACACGAGCAGTAAGTGTAACTATTACTCTGCAGATATAAATGCAACCAAAATAAGTCCTATACACACGCACATCAGTTACAAACTATAATAATTTGTATGTTCAATTCAAGTTCCCTCTCCTTTCAGTAATGAAAGCTTTTGTTAAATGACCCACCTACCCCATGTCTTTGTATATAATACAGGAAGTCATTTTTGTCTCTTGTATATTTGCAGCCTTCGGGGTACAGTTAATTATTATTTACGACTGCGATTTTTTTTTAAATGGCCTCCAGCCTCCCCCAATAGCCATACCTTTGCCACCATTTTATTACCTTAATACAGGGTATTAAATATCCTAATACATAAGCAGCTATCCTAGCTGTGTTGAGTTAGTTGAGCCGCAGATCTATACGGCATTCAGTGACTGTAGCCTCATTGTCACTATCTGCAACTGTTGTCGGCTTTGGGGCCAATGCTCTCATTCCCCTGAGGAAGAGCAAAGCCGACCAGAGGAGAGAGAAAGACAGTCAACATCTCATCCAGGCTGTAACATAACTTCTGGGCTGCTGCTTCTGTTTGGAGATCACCTCTGCGAGTCTGGCGTAGAAGCATCTTGCACTTGGTCCCACCTCACCAGAGGTTGTGAACACTAGAGGAGTGAAGCTGCCTTGATCAACGTTTTGAATTCTCTCCCCGTATGCCCTTATCTTGTCGTTCTCGTGCCTCCTGTGTGCAGCATTGAGAGCTAAGTTACGGTGACATGCTGCCATGGAATAAGAAATCATGATGTCGAAAAAGGCTCGCTGTCCCCGCATCCAGAATCCTCGAGCACTGACGTCAACACGAGCTTCGTTGGATGTGTTTGAAGCCCTATGTTGGAAAATCTCACCGTCCACTGGAAGGAGGGTCGGTTCAACCCTGACATCACGGCAGATTTCCTTCAACATAATTGCTGTGAGATCCCTTACTTCGTCATGCCTCATGCATATGAAGCCCCCCCTTTCTTGCACACCATGGCATGATCAACGTCATAGGAAAAGCCACACACATTACTACTATTACTACTTTTTTTTAAGTGGCCAGCAGCCTCCACCAATAGCCACACCTTCGCTACCATTTTATTACCTTAAAAATAAATACAGTGATATCCCTGTTAGCCGGAACAGTGCAGAGCAATTCCGGGGATGAGAGATTTCCGGCTAACCAAGAGACTTTCTCAAACCCGGAAAAATCCTCCATCCCCGGAAATATTTCCGGTTACTGGAAATACTTTCAGAGTGTTTAAACTATGCATCTTGCACAGACAAACAAGAGCCCACATCTTCAGAATGTTTCTGTGCTGGGGAGATTTCCAAGAGTCTAAACTAAAAATCTATGTATGATATGATCGTGAATTGTTAACCATATAATTCGGTCAAAACCTGTTAACAAGGGGGCAGTGCTGACAACATGTTTGTTGGTCGTCTAATATAAAACAGATGCCCTCGCCTAGGGCTGCGATTGGATGGCGATTGCTCAGTAGTCTACCAATTCTTGCAGAAGAAACAACACGCTGGTCGAACCCAAGACCCTAAAACGTAAATATAAACTCTAAATAACTTTAATAAGTATATTTATGCACTGTAATTTGATCATATTATACAACTTGTCTCCTGATGTATCAACAGATGTAACATGTGAGTTATACTTAAGATGTTAACAGGCTATGTACTGTATATTGATTGTATTATTCATACTATGTGTCCTGAGATGACAGCATTTGTTATATGTGAATTGTTCTTTAACAGGTTTTGACCGAATTATATGGTACGCGTCAACGTTGAGGGTTTATTTCTCCAGCAACAAACCAATAGTTCACAGAACTGCGTATCTACTTAATTTTCACTTATGTTCCTTTGTTATTCATAAATTTGGGCAAAATTACAAGAGCTCTATCTTATCCTATTACTAGAACGATCTCTTCATATGATTTCAAGTTAGCAAGTTTTATGATTTTCTGTACAGCCATACAGCCTTTGTCCTTACAGTTTCTTTAAATAGATATGTCGTTTACATGAAATTCAAAAGAACGTGTTTACTACGCCTATTACTCACCAGCAAGGGTTCCTCTTTAGTTTCAATTTCTTCTTTGATGTAAATCGTTTCATTTATTTCCATGTCTAATCCAACGTCTTGTTCAATTTTCACATCTGAAACACAAAAACGATAGAATGAAAGTCACCTGTTGCTAGGATAGCCTCAGTTAAACCATTTGACCATAGGCCAAGTAGAAAAAATCATGTTATCTAATGCAGTGTAAATAAAGAAAGAGTTTTAAAAGTTGCAATAAATATTTTATCCTTGCATAAAAACCATAACGGAAATGACAGGAAACACAAAGTGTATAATTTAAAAAAGACTGATCCTGAAATATGTTCTTTTTTCTTGGCATAATCCACTGATCCGATAGTTATATACCCTTTTAGCGTAATCCAGGTCCTTTCTAGGGTAAGGCCTCATCAGATCAGGCTTCAGCAGAAAAGCCTCATCTCCTACAAGAAAGAATGGTAATTTGGTTGGAGTATTTGGTATTTCACGAGACTGTGGAATACCTAAATATCCAGACAGAAATGACCTACCCATATTGGGTCTTTTGGGGATGAGTTCATGCATCCATATTCGGGTCCTCCTCTTGCTTTTACGACGCCGAATACACAATAAAACAGCTAATTCAGGGAGAGAATATGCCCGCATCCTCCTCGAAATCAGTCTGGGTACTGGGTCCTCATTGACTCAGTCGGTGTGAACGGCAATGAGTCAAGTCAAGTCAAGACCTCGTTCCTGTAGTTCAGCCTCTAACTCCGCCACCTTCATCTTACTTGGGTCTATAATATCTACTCATGGCCGCTGATCCACTAAAATATAAGTGACTTGAGGTAAAGTGTAACCAATAGTTCCCGCGCCACACTCTTATATCAACACACACACACGACACAGCTGAAGGCCGCACCATGGTATGACTCCTGCACGTTCATTGGTCACTCACTCAATGCACTGAACTTGCCACATTTTTATTGGTCTACCAGGTGAACTTTTGTTAGCTGTCTTCTGATTGGTTGATACTGTCTTAGCTATCATGCCGCTGACCCATATTGTTTCTTATTTAAAATATATAAAAAATTGAGAAATAAAGAGAATTTTTAGAACATATAGGCTTATTTAATTTTTTCTTAGTGATATTCTACATAATTACAATATTTATCAGATGCTCGAGTAGTGTGTCCTCTTATGCTACATTTGTTCCTATTAAGAGTTTATTATAGAAAAATGGAACATATTAAACTTTGAATAAATTTACCTAGAATTTTATGCTTAGAATAAATTAAACCTATAGTAAAATATATCCTTTTTCGGAATATACACATATATGAATTTAGCACATCTCGCTAGGACGTGACTTAGCGAGTTGTTTGACATCAGCACAAGAAAAACATTACGTGGCCCAGATAACAACTTCATATTAATTCCAACACTAAAGAAATAATGTAACGTAAACTGGTAAGATCGTTCCTATTTTTCGTATTTTAAAGAAAGACATTATTTGCTTTTACAAGATTTGGTGATAAAATTGAGAGTGAAATGGTGTTAAATGTTAAGGGTAAACCGTCCATTGACACTGGCTGGTTTTGGTAATGTACACTAAATATGAAGGGTATTTATAATTTAGCACAGATCTAGGTTTATTTTAACCCTCTTAGGTGTGTTTTTCGACAATAATAGAAGGAAAGTAGGTAAAGTTTAAGTTTAGTAAAAGGATTATAATCATGTTCATTTAATTAAATTTATTCTATAATTCTCCTCAGATTACCTTCCAGATTAGGTAAATTTTGGTTTAATGGCTGTGGCTCCTATTGGTTTAATGGCTGTGGCTCCTATTGGTTTAATGGCTGTAGCTCCTATTGTAATGAGAACAGCTTTTGTTGGTGCATTCTCATAACAGTATCATCTAATAAATCACTGTTGAAACCTAACCTAACCTACCTTTCTGCCGCCATTAAATAAATATTAAACCCAGATTGCAATTTCTTATTCTGATTAGGCAGTGTAGATTGTCCGACCACAGATACTTAATTATCTGTCCAACGAATTACCCAATTGTACCCAAAAGTATATTAAATCAGGGTAAAATCTTAACAAATATATGTTTTACATCAATAAAACCTGATTAATAATGCTTTCATTGAAATGTAGTCAAAATAATGAAATAATAAACAGCGAAAAACGATAAATTCCAAAGAGTCACCTATCCAAAATGGAGATATTATTACCGATGTTTCTGTTACTTTGGGGTATTTAACATAGCCGTAGGATTTACTTTTCGTTAGGTTAGGTTAGCGAAGTGCATGACGATGGATCTGAGTTATCTCCCTTGTTCACGAACTCTTTGGAATTTAGCGTTCGCCAATACTGAAAGTTTTTCGCTGTTTATTAGATAGGGTGGAATCAAAGGCATTTCGTCTTAATAACTCTCCTCCTTTCTCTTCGTCACAATGTTGCTTCACTCTCTCTCTTTTACAGGTACAGTACTTTAACGGGCAATGTTCAGTGGATTTGGCATCCTGTGTACCGCCGGTAAGGCCGTGGGTTCGTAACACGCCTTGCCCGCGGTGCCCACCGTTTCTCTGTGGATGTCGGTCACACGAGAATAACCCGTTATAGTACCTCCTTCTTTCCTCACACAGCCAAACTGTGGAATGCTCTGCCTTCTTCTGTGTTTCCATGCTCTTACAATCTGTCTCACTTTAAAAAGCTGGTATTCCGGCATCTTCGTGGTGTAGATTAATACAGTATAACCTTTTTTCTATATTTCCAATTTCTTTCCATTCTTCCACCCTCCTGCTCCGTTGTGGGTCGTTTGACCTGCGCCCGGGTGGGCTAATTCCCGTAAAAAAAAAAAAAACATTTTGGTACTTTTGGGTAATTCGTTGGACACCTTACTTATTTCTGCTCATTGTCCAACATTGGTTGAGGCTTTCGGACATTACATTTGGGATGTTCCTGAAGAACCAGATACTGCTACATTATATAATTTAGCCGCAGGATACAGGTACAGCAGCGGTATGCGAAACGTTGATGTCGAATTGTGTTCGTTAACCGAGGGACCACTGTACAGTATCCCTAATTACGAATACTTTAATTCTCATGGGGGGAAAATTACTCATTATTATATGTTTCACTATACTGTAAGTCACATTTCCTTGAAGTATCCCCAATGTACTGTGCTGAATTTTCATCTTGTTTATCCATGGTATGCTTTTCTGGCAAGCCTGGTTTGTATACTGTGTATAGGTCCCTTCATCATCAGTAACACTGCCTTTCAGAGGGTGCAGTCATATCTCCTTGATTTTTCTAAGTGTTAGAAAAATGTGTTATCACCTCCTAAATATTTTTATTTATCCTTCATCCAATCAGTTTCTATTTTTTATAAGATCATTTTAATAAAACCATAAAGATTATCTCAGCATTTGATAGTGGATGTAGTACTTTCTGATGGCAGATCTGGAAGGTTAGAGTGATGTATAAACCTCTTTTACAGAGACTGGTAAGATGAAGCGACTGCAAATATGCCAAGGGATATTTGTGACGTTATTAATGTGTACGACCTTGGCACACTCCGTGGATGACCTAGTAAGTTGCATTGGTGGTATTATCTTGTTAGAGTATTATATATTTTTTTATTTGAGGATGTTCCCAGGAACATTTTATCCCCAAAAAAGAAGAATATTACTAAAAAATAAAGTGTTGCATTAGATGCTATAAGACATAAGTTTATCTTCCTTAAGGCTGACATTTAATTGTTGTATCTTTATTTAAAGGAGAATGTACAGCCTCCCACACTTTCACTTGTGATAATCAGCATTATTGTTAACAGTCGTCTCAGAGAGTTGTGAACCCTCGTGCGAATCATTAGCTCGTGACGTGAAGTGGGGGGACTGGTGGGAGAGGAGAGTGGTGGACAGGGGGGGGGTGGTGATGAGGGTAGGGGTGGAAGTGGACTAGAGGAATTGTGCGGGTAATAAGAACGTAGACTACGTTCATGAAAGATTTCAAGTGCCTTGGGTGCCTCCTGTATGTGACCCATGTCTCACTGCCATATAGCAGGGTGGGGAGGACCACTGCTCGTTATACGTGTAACTTTGTAGATAATTTCAGCTCCTTACAGCTGAAGACACGGTTTTGGAGTCTGCCAAGGGCTTGAGATGTACATCTGATCCGATGCTGAATCTCTTCATCGATGTCGGTGGACAGGTGGGAGCCGAGATACCGAAAGTGGTTAACATTAGAGAGGGTAGTACTGTTAGGCTGGATGGATGGTGTAGGTGTGGCTGAACCAGGGTTGAGCAGTGAATGGTAGTGCTTTTTCCAGCGCTGAAGGAGGCCTTCATCGTCTTTAATTACGGAGTTACCGTCAGTTGAGCGGAGGGGGACTGCGCCACGAGTGATTGGTCCACAAAATGATTTAGTGGAATTGAAAAATTTGTGCATCTTGTGCTGTGCTGCAAATTTTTGTGTTTCACATGCCTTATTTTTAACCACACACACACACACACACACACACACACACACACACACACACACACACACACACACAGACACACACACACACACAGACACACACACACACACACACACACACTTGTAATAAACCAGTGTATTCACTCCCAGTAAATACTACTTCTTGCACTGTCACTATGTTGAAATGCCCTGTAGTTTGAGCTTTTCCCCATCTAGTTATTATATATCTTATTTGTATCACTTATGTTATTTGTATATTATTTGTAAATCGAAACCCATTCCCCAATTATGTAACTGTATATTTTCAGCCTTCTGACTGCCAAGCACTTTCGATAAACCGTTAATTATTATTATTTATTATTACACACACACACCAGCGAGACAAGACGTGCCCTGAAGGCGCTCCCAGTTTGGGCAGCCAGGCCGAGTCTGTTTGCCCCCCCTCCTCCTGCTATATCCCAACGCCCTACCAGCCTTACTACACCGGGATTTATTCAGCAAAAAATTCAAGTGATCAGTGAACGATTGACTACCGAACAGTGTTCCTATAGTGCACTCCAAGAAAAAGCACAAAAAACACAGCAGTGTAACATTGAATGTGGCTGGATCTGACCTAACCTGACATGACCTCACGGTTTCACCTGACCTAACCTGAAGGATGGAGCACACCTGCATTGCCCCAAGCTACTGTCCTGTCCACGTGGCCACACACCTGCCCAACCGCATCCAGCCCATACGAGCACGAACTAATTGCTATAAGAACAGCCCAGTCCCAACCATTGTAAAAATTATCAAACACCTAATTATTATATATCATATTTGTATCACTTATGTTACTTATATATCATTTGTCAATCAAGAGACGCATTCCCCGATTATGTAACTATATTTTCAGCCTTCCGGCTGCCATGCTCTTTCAATAAATAGTTAATTATTATTATTATTACACACACACACACACACACACACACACACACACACACTGTGAGGGAACTACTACACCACATGATGCCCCTCATAACACCACCTGTGAAGGAACTACTACACCACATGATGCCCCTCATAACACCACCTGTGAGGGAACTACTACACCACATGATGTCCCTCATAACACCACCTGTGAGGGAACTACTACACCACATGATGCCCCTCATAACACCACCTCTGAGGGAACTACTACACACATGATGTCCTCATAACACCACATGATGTCCCTCATAACACCACATGATGTCCCTCATAACACCACCTGTGAGGGAACTACTACACCACATGATGCCCCTCATAACACCACCTGTGAGGGAACTACTACACCACATGATGCCCCTCATAACACCACCTGTGAGGGAACTACTACACCACATGATGCCCCTCATAACACCACCTGTGAGGGAACTACTACACCACATGATGCCCCTCATAACACCACCTGTGAGGGAACTACTACACCACATGATGTCCCTCATAACACCACATGATGTCCCTTAGGGGGCAGGGAAAAAACACTTTTATTTGAGTTGCAGGCTGCACTTTTCAGGCATCGTTTGTATGGCTGTAACAAACACCTGTGCAAAATTTCATGCCATTTCATGCATACTTACCCTGCCGCATCGCGAAAGACTTTTTGTCAACTTTTAGTGTATACCAAAAATTAGGTGTCATTTAATGTTTTCCAGGATAATGATAAATTTTACATGGGTGACATCGATTTAATTCACATGTTATTTTACAGGTACACCGTATAGAAAATCATTACAAGTTCATATTGAAATTCTTTTTTGTGCGGAACCTTGGCATCATTTTCCTAGACAATAATCTTTGCCTAATATATCCATCTCTCGATTCGTATCCCGTCACTTCAGTGCAAGCTTCAGTCATCACTTTTATGCCTCTCTCGACCGCCTGAGTGCTGTTTGGCCACTTGGGCACCACTAATGGTGTCTCAAGAATGTCATTAACCTGTAGATTTGACAGAGAAGCAATGTAAGGAGGCTCAGTCTTGAGTTCATTCCTCCAGTTAATCATGGAATGATAGTTTTTTGCTTGCCACTTTAGTTTCGGAGTCACCACCTTTCTCATGTTGACTACAGGAGGCACATCCTCATTCCCATCTCCATCTTTACCCTCCTCATCAGTATAGTTTAACAAATTCTCGTCAACAGCAGCATCAGAATCTTCCTCCTCCTCTTCAGATCTGCCAGTGCATTCTTCCTTTTGCTGATTCTCCTCTCTAATTTTTCTTATCATTGAGACAGCTTTTTCTCTAACAGTCATGTCCTCATCTGCACACATACCAAGAAGAAGTTGATCTGTGTGGGCGAAGTATGCATTTCTCTGGACAGCCTTCTTCACTATCGTCTCCTCCTCACTATTCAGGTGTTTCATATATAGCAGGGACTGGAATACGTTCCTTGAGCCGTGTGTTACGTAAGGGTGTATCTTGATGTAAAACCACATTGGAGCACTGAACTTTATTATTGTAATGACAATTCTTTTCAACTCATGGCTGGGTCTTGATGTTGCTACATACAGCCTGAGGATTCTACTCCATAAGGTGTTCCACCTTGACACACAGGGAGGACCTGGCTCAATAGCAGCCAAGTCATCTTCAACAACACCTGTGATAACTCCTTTACAAATCCTATACAGGTATTTCTGATCCCAGGACAGATCTTTCTCCACTTCATCATTAAACACAGGGAAATCAGGGAAACTGACTGGCTGGAAGGCGACAACTGGAAGCTCAGACAAAGACTCCTTGATCTGCTTTCCAATGGGACCACACCAATGCTCAGGACCACTTGGTTTACCATCATAGTGATAAAAAACTGCGCGGAAAGGCAGCTCATTTCCGTGAAGCTGACATATGAAATAATGGAGCGGGTGACCAAGTAACATTTCAAGATGATGAATGACTCCATTTTCTGATCCTACATTTACATTGGTTCCATCACAACCAACACACACAATGGGCTGCTGGGTTAGATTTTTCTCCACCAGAAACTCGTGAATAGTTTTGGCAATCTGCTTTCCGTGTCCAGTCTTGGGAGTCACATGTGTGAGATATTCATTGCCAGGCTCAACCATGATGACATAATGATCTTTCACCATCATCCTCGAACTCCATTTCTCGGTCTTCTCATTCTTTATCATCACACGAGTGGCGGTCTTCTTACCATCAAAATAGAGTGACGTCAAATTATGAAAAAAAAAGTTGATAAACACTGAACAGAACATTGCACCGCCACAGCGGCTGTTTGGCTAGTACTGTAGGTAAATTTAAAAATTTCAGTAGAAAATGCGGCAGACTAAACCTCGACATATCAGCTTCAAATTTGGCATGGAGTCTTAGATATGTATAAGGAACAATGCCTGAAGAGTGCAGCTTTGAGCAAAATTTCACTGCCCCCTAATGTCCCTCATAACACCACCTGTGAGGGAACTACTACACCACATGATGTCCCTCATAACACCACCTGTGAGGGAACTACTACACCACATGATGCCCCTCATAACACCACCTGTGAGGGAACTACTACACCACATGATGTCCCTCATAACACCACCTGTGAGGGAACTACTACACCACATGATGCCCCTCATAACACCACCTGTGAGGGAACTACTACACCACATGATGTCCCTCATAACACCACCTGTGAGAACTACTACACCACATGATGTCCCTCATAACACCACCTGTGAGGGAACTACTACACCACATGATGTCCCTCATAACACCACCTGTGAGGGAACTACTACACCACATGATGCCCCTCATAACACCACCTGTGAGGGAACTACTACACCACATGATGCCCCTCATAACACCACCTGTGAGGGAACTACTACACCACATGATGCCCTCATAACACCACCTGTGAGGGAACTACTACACCACATGATGTCCCTCATAACACCACCTGTGAGGGAACTACTACACCACATGATGTCCCTCATAACACCACCTGTGAGGGAACTACTACACCACATGATGCCCCTCATAACACCACCTGTGAGGGAACTACTACACCACATGATGTCCCTCATAACACCACCTGTGAGGGAACTACTACACCACATGATGCCCCTCATAACACCACCTGTGAGGGAACTACTACACCACATATGCCCCTCATAACACCACATGATGTCCCTCATAACACAATTTGTGAGGGACTTACTACACTACGTGTCTGCTGTTCAACACCTCAGAGTACCTGATCTACGTGACCTCCACTGTAAACATTAATCTGTATGTTCCTTTACCTTTCTCTAATGAAGACTTTTGTTAAACCACCAATGTATGTAATAAGTCATTTATGTTCAATGTATATTTTCAGCCTTCGGGTTGCAGAACTTTTTCAACAAACTGTTTATTATTATTATTATTTTTTTTTTTTTTTACACACACATTCTATATACACACACACAAATATCACACACACGTGCACATAGGACTTAATACAAATAGTATCCGGAGTGAGGGTCTTCTTGTGGTGGTGAGTTCAAGATCAGCTGTTGGGAAGCATTTGGCAACACAGCGGTGCATGTTACCACTTCATCTCTCTAATCACCCACACCTTTCTGCATTCTCATTCCATAATTTTAAATGTTATGTAACATAATGTTGAAAGAATACAACAATGCTCATTTATACTTACACTTATCACAATCTCCCTCGAAAATGCTTTCACTTTCGTCTTTATTCAAGACATCATCAGGTCACGAGACCCACTAATCCCCCATCCAACAATGGGTGAACTGGCATTGTTTCAGAAGATAGGTAATATGAGACCACTAATCCCCCACCCTATCTCCACCTGACATTACATCAGGTCAGGTCAATTACATGAGACCCATTAATCCCCCACAGCTCCATGGGAGTGGAAAATACAAGTCTTTGCTGTAATACACAGCTTCATTCATGTCCATATCATATAGATTTTTAGCTTTTAAATATATTTATTTAACCAGACTTTTAGACGAAGTATTCTGGATTATTATAGTAAAGAAATTGAGTTTCTAACTTAATTAGAACTGCATCTACAAACTCTGGTAATTAAGACTCTCGGAAAACATTCCTTAGCACCCAGAAACGTTCTGAGGATGTGGGCTACTGTATGTCTGTGCAAGATGTCTAGTTTAGACACCAGGAAACTTTTCCTAGTAACTGTAAAAGATTCCGGGGATAAGGAATTTTTCCGGGTTTGAGAAAGTCGTCACATATACTGTACTGTACTTTCTTTTTTCTTTTTTTTTTCTTTTCTTTTTTTGTGACCTCACCAACTTTAGAGTGTCCGAAAAAAGTGAATTCCAATATATTGAAGTCTGATTTCTCAAGGTTTTACTGTAGATCCTCAGTCATAATTTGAGACCTGGGGCTTTGCTTCATAGAATTCTGGCTATACTGTACAGAGTTGCTCAACTCTGACTTATAAAATGCGTTTTCTTGAACAATCCCCCATTTCTACATGTCAAGGATATACTTATGGTATTTGTATGAAAAGTGCATACAGCTGATCAGAAAACAAATATTTTGTACCCCAGGTTGACAACCCCTTATCCGAAATCCTTGGGACCAGATGTGTTTTGGATTTCAGAGTGGTTAGGTTAGGTTAAAAGAAAAAAAATTGGGGCATGTGATGCACACAAGTGATGCTCCACTAAAAAACTTGTTTTTCAGAGGTTTTCGGTTTTTTAATTTTCGGATAAGGGGGTGTCAGCTTGGTACCTATGTTAGCTTAAAGTTTTAAAATGTACTTTTAAGGCATAATAAGAAGATATTTGTTCAGAACTTGTAAACACTCTACAGGTTAGTAGGGCATTGAATTTTTACCATTTGTTGTCAGTGAGTATTAACAATACAATATTTACAGAGGAACTACATATTCTGCAAAATTAAGATATAATTTATCTCACCAGGATCCCACAGTTTCTGATAAAGTTAGTGATATCAGTGACCTCAGCACAGAAGATCCAACAAGTCCAACTGATGAGACAGAAGAAGTAACTGAAATAACAGATCATGCAGGTGACACTGAAGAGATTAAGAGTGAAAAAGACCATTCTGAACCAAAAAAGGAGTTGACCGCAAATGAAATAAGAGGTGAGACAATATCAAGGAGCTCCCATTATGCAGTCTTTACTGGTAGGTTTTTTATTGAAATTTGAATAAAATTCTGTTAAAGTCACTTTCTTAAACATTTTAGTGTATTTAGTACAAATTATTATTATTTTTTATATTGATGTTAAACTTCCAGGTGACAACTGCCATGACATAGTTTTTTGGGTGTAGCATTTATTTAGAGGGGGGAAAAGGACAAAAACTGAGTGGAGTCTCAGAAAGTCTTCATGAACTCAATGAACAAGAAACTAATAGCAACACAAACCCAGAGGAAAATTTTTTTTATATACTGTTTGTGAAAATATTTCTTTAAAGATGGGATGTGGTATAGAATAAATGTGGATATTAACTTGAGGCTTGGAGGTTAAGAGAGAATGAAGGTCATGTACTGGAATAGAAAACAAGACAAATTGTGAGGATTTAACAAATTATAATGCTGTACAGGTATCCCCCATGATACAAATGTTCTAGATATGAATATTTACTTGTACAAATTTCATAAATTGACACCACTTTCTTGAGATACGAAAGTTTCCCCCACTTACACGAATTTGGGTCTGGGCAAAAATTCAAATTGTGTGCCGGGAGTCAGCTGGTGCAGCCATCTTGGGGGAGAGATGTGCAGAGTATGGCCCTTACTCAGCCCACTCCCCTTGAATGGTGAGCTCAGACTGCCCTCCCATAAGGTAATCTACCAAAGTTATATAGTATTTTCGTAATTTTTTTCATATGTTAGGTCGTAAGTGTGCAGATTGTGGGAGAGGTAGAGAGCAAGTGGTAGCTGGCGAGGTGTCCTGTCGAGCTTTGAGTTGCTTTATTCTTATTTTTCAACTGCAGTAAACCCTCGATAACTCGGCACACATGGGGCTCTGGCCTTGCCGAGTTATCCCTAATTCCGACTTATCGAGGCACTTTCCCCCTCCTACAAAAATACAACAATAAAAATATACCGACCCATATATGTATAGTACATGTAAAAAATAATGTAAAAAAAGCACTTACCAGCACTGCAGGTGAAGAATGAAGACACAGAGGCATGGTAGGTGACACAGAGGCAGTAAATACTACTTCTTGCACTGTCACTATGTTGAAATGCACTGTAGTTTGAGCTTTTCCCCATCTAGTTATTATATATCTTATCTGTATCACTTATGTTATTTGTATATTATTTGTAATTCGAAACCCATTCCCCAAATATGTACTGTAACTGTATATTTTCAGTCTTCTGGCTGCCAAGCACTTTCAATAAACCGTTAATTATTCACGCAGGAAAATTTAAAAAATGAAACGCTAGATTGTCAACATAGACCCTTTCTATGTCGGGCGCTCTGGGACGATATCAGACCTTTAATGGCTAATGTCAGTAAAGTAGGCATGGTGTTGTACCAAATATATGTGATGGAATGAATCAGGCAGACTGATGGTTTGTATCTTAAATGCTGTACAATATTACATATGACCAATGTTGTTTTTAAATTGAAATACAAGTTTACTTCTCAGGCAATGAATTATATGAAGCTGCATTGAGCCTCATGAACCAGACAAAACAAGATGAGCAAGAAGCATACACCCTTCTACAGTCAGCAGCAGAGTTGGGCCACGTTGAATCTCTACAAAAAGTGGCATGGGCACGCCTTCTTGGTAGGCACCTCAAACCAAATATCACACAAGCTGCTGAAATGTTTGAATACTTAGCTCAACAAGGGAATGTGGATGCTCAAATGGTAGGTGTTTGCATGCTTTGTATTGCCTTTGTTTTGATCTCTGAGGTGGTTGATACTGTATTAATGTTTAAAACTATTGTATTGTAAGACTTTCAAGTTCTTTATTCAAGTAGTACTTCACATGAGAATAACTTGGTAAGGGTAGTAATGTGGGGATGAAAATAAACAGGAGTAAGTGGAGATAAGGTACAGTAAACCCTCGAAAGACAGCACCCCATAAGTCCAGATTTCAGATAGTCCAGACCCTCTCCGGGCAAGAAACTTATATCCAAACCCTTAAATATTTGTCGTTTGAAATTCTTGCCGCTTGCACTCATTTGAAATTCCCGCCAACAAGCGATCCCTTGGGGCCTCTCTCCTAATCTTGACATCAGTTAACAGTTTATTCAATCACTCTTAGAATGGACTCGCCCATAATGCTGCACTGTGATCAGCTTCTCTCAAGCCCCTAGGCATGCTTCCCTCACTCGCCCTCTGTGTTGTCTTTGTATTGTTTAGACGTTGCTCCACCAGTGGTGCTGTAATCAATTTTTTTTTTTCATGAATATACAATATTTCATACAGAATGTGCAAAAAAAAAAGGATAATCATTAGGTCAAAAACATAAAGGGAATAAACATTTCTTATGTCGGAGGGAGTTAGTGTGGGATCAAGGGAGGGGAACGGGAGGAGGTTGTGGAGTTGGGGATCCCGGCTATCACCTACTGGCCAAACTGTGAGCTGTGTTATTGTTATTTTATAACTTATATTTTTGGGTACATTTAAATATTTATTTATTTATTTATTTGTTTGTTTTACTCTGTTGCAAGCATACACAATCATTCATACAGAATATGCAAAAAAATAAAATAATAATAAAAATTATTATCATAAGGTCAAAACATAAGAGGGAATAAACATTTGTTAGGTGCACTGTAGTTAACGCCCAGATTGTGGGAGGAGGGAGTACTGTTGGAGATCTCCGTCGCTCCGGTCTCTCGGGCGTAGTGAAATTTGGGAGTTGATTTCTGTAAGAAAAAAAATTTGGGTGGCGCTGATGTCTCATTTACTGTATTTGCCAGCGTATAAGACGCACCACCACATAAGACGCACCCCTAATTTACAAGGTTATTTTGTGGATTTTTTTGGTCTAGGTCGTGTTTCTCACTTTTGATCTTTTTTTCATTCTTGTATTTCTTTATTATTATTATTTTATTATTACAGTACTCCTGTATTATTGTTATTTTTATTAATTTTATTATTATTTTATTATTATTTTTATTATTAATGTCATCATATTATTTTATTTTGGTGTATTTTTATTAAAATTTGTATTTACTACGAATAATTATTATAATTATTATTACTATTACATTTTCGCCCCCCAGGCCCTGATGTGGGTCAGTGATCTATACCCGGGTGGGCTAATCCCTGTTTAAAAAAAAAAAAAAATGCCCCACAAAAAAACTCGGTTTTTGGAGTTTCGGATAAAAGATTGTCAACCTGTATTACAATCTTACCTTACTGTAAACAATGAGATTCCTTTCATCTGGGGTTGAAGTGTGCAAGGTGTAATTTATGGTATATACCTAAAAAAAAAGTGTTTTATACCTCCAAGCTATACTGTCAGTGTCACCCTTAACAGGTCAATCATATCGAGAATAAAATAATTTATAATGTAGTTTGATGAACATGATCAGATAGCACTGTTTGTATAAAACATTGTTTGCATATTCCTGTGAGCATCTACGTAACTAATAGTACCATTAATAATAGATGTGTGGATAAAGCCTGTGGGCTATGATGTTATTACAAACTTTCTGTATGAAATTAATGATTATTGCCATGCTAATTTCATTTGTTTCACACAGGGTTTGGGATTCATGTTTGCTACAGGCATTGGGAAAAACTCCAGTCAAGCAAAAGCATTGATACATTATACTTTTGGTGCTCTTGGTGGCAGTCAGCTGGCACAGATGGCATTGGCATACAGATACTGGTCAGGCATCAGTGTGGCTTCCAGCTGTGAAACGGCTCTTACCCACTACAGGAAGGTTTCCCATACAGGTATATTACTTGTTTGTATCTTTTATTTTATTTTAACAGTAGTGTATCCTTTGGAGATTGCTATAATTAATGAATAACTAATAAATAATGTACTGTACAATATTTTATACAAATGACAGTACAGTAGTTCGCAAGAGACATACAAATTTTAGTTTAATTAGTAAATTTATTACAAAGGGCTAAAATTTTTATCTTGTGCAAAATATATGATGTCTGAATTCAAATTATGCGCTGTCTTGCACGGATTCCAGCAATGCAATTTATATTCTGCTAACTTAAGTCTGTGACATTTTATAAGATCAAAACTTTAAGCCTAAAACCGGTCATTCTTACCAGAAGTTGAAGAGGAGTTGATGTATTATGACAGCTGGGGGGAGCCAGACAACAGTTACCAAGTGGTATTTAGTTATCTGTCATATAGGGGGAGTTAATGTTTTTCTCTTATTTAATGTCAATGAATTGACTTAAGAGAATATAATTAACATTGCTGGCATTCTTGTAAGATAGTGATTAATTTGAATATAAACATGCTATAGTTTGCAATAGGCATAAAAATTTTAGTACTAAATTAGTACATATGACTAAAAAATTTATCTCTTGTACAAAATATATAATGTATATATTCAAATTATTCACTGTCTTGCAAGGATTCCATCATTGTAGGTTATAGCTAACTTTAGACTGTGCAATTTTACATCAAGTTTAGTCACTTTCATTGGCCTCCAGAACCTAACCCTATTTTCCCCATTGATTACATGTAATTATATATCACGATTTAGTATATAGCGAACTTCCTTGACCCTATATCGCAATATATCCCAACCCAACTGTAATCCAAACTCTAGTGCTCAGTATAATTTGTATCCCTATTATTGTAAGGAAATGAATTCAGTTTTAGATATGATGATTTCTGTGTTGACTTCAAATTGTGAACATCTGAAATTTTCATTCAAATATTTGACAGATGTTCTTGATCCCAATGTTGCAGACTATCATTCAGAAAGCTTTATTGAAGCCATGAAAAATTTGTCAGAAACCTATCCATCTGAGATACCTGACACTAAATCTTTTCAAGTTGAATTACAAGTGTTCAACATTAATTTTTCTGAATATGTGGAGCAGCATCCTGATGTAGAAAAACACATTCGCTCAGCTGCAAAATGAGCACTAAATGCTCATAGAAAGTATCATTTATTTTCTCATGTGGCAAAACTTTTCAGGCTATTCTTGACAGCACCACCGTCAGTGTGTAAAAGTGAAAGGTCTTTTAGCAGGCTTAAGCTTTTGAAAACATCCCTGAGAAACAGAACCTCAGAAAAAAGGTTGCACAATCTTATGCTCATAGTTTGTAAAAATTACATAAATGATCAGTTATATCTTCGAAAGATGGCAGATAATTGGAAGCTTAAGAAAACTTGGTGAATTAAAATTTCAGTTTAATTTCTAAGAATAGATTAATGCTGCTGATTTTATCCAAGCAGTAAATGAAAAATATACTGTATACCTGTATTTATTTTCATTATTTCTTTTTATTCAAATAAAGAGTTTACTTTATCCATCATATTTCTATCCTAATGTTTAATAATTAAACATTCAATAAAGAAAATTTTGTATTTCAATTTGTCATTTTTTTTAATACACATTAGTAAGATTAGTTGGTCAAATTTGATAGGCTGAGTGGCGAGCCGGTAATTGTTTTACCCCCCTCCCCCCAATCACAATTGCGACACTACAGTACACACTGTTGTGCTGATACTGAACCCTAAAATAATGGTAAATTACATATATTTACACTACAGTATTTACAAGACTAGCAGGAATTTTAAAATTTTCAAGGGCATGCTGTATAGTACTGTAGATGTGCACCCTAAACATGTCCCTTACCCTAGCAGTTGTTTATCTTTGCTCTAAACCTTGTACAGTAGGGGTATTAAATGACAGTAGAATTGCCCCCCCTTTTATCACGGAATAGTCCACCCAGGCACAGGTCATCGACCCACAACGGGACCGAGGGAGCGAAAAACTGAGAGTACAGATTCTTAATTTTTTTTTTTTTTCTTCAACTTTTCTCCTGAATTTTCCCAGTGGGTCGAAGATTGTTAACCGGACAATTGCAGTTCGTTAAATAACCAAGGGCGTGAGAAATTTTTAATTTCTAAACCGAATTATAACTAAGCAAACGATCACTAAATGACGGTTACCTGTATGTCATATAAAGGTACGTACATACTGACATAATATAATTATGTAAAATGATGCACAGTATAGTGAGGACCCTCTGTCCTTTATACACTCAGTCCCCGACTTACGGCAGGGGGGGTTAGGGACCGATGACAAGGTCGTAAGTCGAAAATGCAAAAATAATACAGTGGTCCCTCGATTAACGAACACAATTGGTTCCAACTCACAGAAAAAGTACATACAAAGTAAAGCCAAAAAATGCATAAAGTCAGAAACACTCCTAATATTTCCCCAAAATCGCCCTGAAATCACTATACAGTATAGTCTGGTTTTACGCGGTTAATTAAACCCATGGAGGTCTGTGTATAAAGCGAAACGCATAAAAAAATAACAGAACCTATGGGATTAATTGAAATAGAGACTGGGCCGACCCCCAGACTACCCTTTTTCCGACACAATACGTACATTGTAGTAAAAGTAACATCGTAATTTTATGATGGTATGCACACACAATTAATATATAAGAGAAATATCAATAATATTAGGTTTTTTAACACTTGCGTTAGTAGAAGAGATGGCTGTGTACACGGGGATGGGGGGTTGGTTCTGAGGCCGAGGGCAGATTATTGGCCCTCACATGTCTCTCTATCCACCACAGAGGTTAGCAGGGCCTCCTCGTCAAACCCCTCGAAGTCCACATCCTCACTATCACTGACTTGGGCTGGCTGTGGTGGTTGGCGGGTGAAGAACTCGGTAATGTTTTGTTGACGGCTAGCATTGTTGTGGTCATGATACAGCTGAACATAGGGCTCCTGGCTTTTCAACAGATGGTTATTAAACACTTCGTAGCGAGGATCGACTGGGTCTTTGGCAAGAATGAACTTCATTCTCTCGGCTAACTCGATGACTTCCTTCACATCAGCATGTGTTAGTTTCTGCTCTTGTTCTTCTGTAACACCTCGCTGCTCACTGACATCATCATCTTCCAACATCTCGTCCGCAGTCACCTCAGGTTGCCTGATTACCTCCAGGATGTCCTCGTTGGTGGTCTCGGAGAAGCCTGCAGCTTTAACACCCTGTGTAGCCTCTCTTGCATTCTCCAATGCCACAGCAACAGACTGAGCCTCACAGAAGCCATTGTGTAGAAAGAAAAAAAAACACTGGTTCCTGGGCACGAGTGAATATACACGGAGACAGTGAAACTGATGCGGCGGTGGAGAGCGAGGGTGGCGGGGGTGGCAAAGATAACTAGACCAATTACAGCACGCGGCGGAGGGGGTGCGTGGGTGATAAGGATACGTTGCCCAATCACAGTCCACAACGTCACTGACGTGAGTCTAACGTCAGCGGTGACGTCTGCATCCAGCACCTTGCCCCGCCGCGTATTTGATGGCATGTACCGCGTAAATAATAATAATAATAATTATCGCTTCTGGACAAGTGCCGCGTAAATGACCGTCCGCGTAAACCCAGATTATACTGTACTGTATATATATATATATATATATATATATATATATATATATATATATATATATATATATATATATATATATATATATATATATATATATATATATATATATATATATATATATATATATATACTCTACGTACATATACACTCTTACTCTTAAATCACTACTGGAATGTGATACAGGTGATTAATTTTTATCTCTTATGCAAAATATATGATGTATATATTCAAATTATTTGCTGTCTTGCAAGGATTCCATCAATACAAATTATATGCTTCTAACTTTAGTCTGAGATATTATATAAGATAAAAATTGTAAGCCTAAAACTCTGGCTGGGAGGGAGGGAGGGAGGGAGCAAGCGTGCGGGGGGAGGGGGTGGAGGTGAGGTGATATGTTTGACAGTTGGCTCTGAAGGTCTCATGTGTGTTTATTTATCAGTCCTTAAGAGTGACTAAGCTTTTCTCATAAAAAATGTCACTGAAATGACCTGGGAGAATATAATTTACATTGCTGGGATTCTTGTAAGATAGCGATTAATTTGAATATAAACAAGCTATAATTTGCACTAGACATTAAAAATTTTAGTACCATAATTATTTAGTACATGTACAGTACAGGTTTGCACTTAGGTCATTTATTTGTTTTACGTTTATTTTAGTATGGTGTGTGCATGTAAATGAATAAAAATAAATTAACCAATTTATGTAAATCTACCCAAAAATACAGTTGAAAAAATTGTACATTATTAAAATGTACTAATGTACTAAAATTTTTATCGTGCAAATATATGACGTTTATATTCAAATTATTCACTGTCTTGCAAGGATTCCAGTAATGCAAATTATATTCTCCTAACTTTAGTCTGATATTATATAAAATAAAAACTGTAAGCCTAAAACCACCAAACCCTTCCTGGGAGGGGTGACAGTGACATGTTTGACAGTTGGCACTGAAGGTCTAGTGAAGTATTTATTTGTTTATTTATGTCCTTTAGATTTTGTTTTTGTTTTTTGCTAATAAAATGTCATAGAAGTGACCGGGGAGAATATAATTTACATTGCTGAAATTCTTATAAGATAGTGATTAATTTGAATATAAACGTCATATATTTTGCACAAGAGATAAAAATTTTAGTACATAGTACATTTTAATAATGAAAAAAAAATTCAGCTGTATTTTTGGGTAGATTTACATAAATTTCTGGGTGTGTCTTTTTCTTTTCAGCGCCGAAAACTCTCACTTTTACGCTTGCCAGCCATTTTAAAGGGAATTACAAACAAAAATTTTGTCAGTACACAGCACGATCACTAACGTCGGGACTCAAAAATACGTAATTTAAAAAAAAGATTGTACGGCGGTCGTAAGTCGAGGAGTACCTGCACAGTAGTGTAGTGTAAAGGGCATTGTGCTACTTGAGTTTTGCTTTCTGCTATTATTTTTCATCTCTGTCCCACATGGCTATCAAGGACTTGGTATAGTTCAAATTTTATTCCTATAATAAACATTTAAAAGAAAAAGAAAATTTTGCTTTCAGTGGCAGATGAAGTATCACTGACGGGTAATCGAGCAGTGCAGCGAGTTCGCCTCCTTGATGAAGTGGACAGTCCTGGGTCATCACCAGCACTACTTGATGATGACCTTATACAGTACTACCAGTTCCTTGCTGAGAAAGGAGATGTTCAGGCTCAGGTAAATATATTACTTTTTCATCAGAAGATAATTTTTGTATAAACAATGAATTTGTTATTTTTTGTTTACGAATTGTTAAATGCTCCAGTAAAATTATTTGTTTATCATGAGAAGCTGGTTCATAATAAAGTAGGATTGTCTTTAAAATTAAATTAACTCTGGTTTTGAATGGATATTGATTTCTATGATTTCCTTGCTATCATATTTAAATAAATTACAAATTTAATGATGAAGTTGGTGTGTTTATTTATTATTAAGGTTGGACTTGGGCAGCTGCACTACCAGGGAGGACGAGGAGTGGAGCAAGACCACCAACGTGCCCTCAACTATTTTGTTCAGGCTGCAGAAGCAGGAAATACCAATGCTATGGCATTTCTTGGCAAGGTAAAAGACCAGAATGCCTAAATATTATTTTGTGAACTCCATATATTTAACCTACTCACAGAATAATGACATAGATTGCACATCATGTACAGCCGACATATGTTCACAGAGAACTTGTTATTTATAGTACATCTTCATAACCCTTGAACTGCTCTGTGCATCAAATGGCGCACCTTTCCTGTGACTACACCACTTGTCAATTGACGCCAAGTCTTTTCTTGCCAACACTCAAGGTTGCTCAAGGCACTTATAGGTGTCAGCAGTTATGCAGGAAGATAAGCGAGCCTTCTCATATCATGTGCTTAGTTACGCTCTAGCCATTTTGGATGATATATCGCCTAGCACTTTCTGCCAGACCCTTCGGAAGGTGCAGAAGCATCCCAAGTTTGTTATCCCAAAATGGTACCAAGAATTCTCTTCAGCAGTGATGAAGAAGGGGGAGTGCCAGCATCAGAGACAGGCCAAGAGTGATTTATTGCTAGAAAAGGGGACATGTTCTATGCACTCATATGCCACAGGGAAGTCAGGAATGGCTTTTATTTTTTGTTATTATTTATTCTTACATAGAATAGTATCATTTCATAATCTGGTAGGTTGTGAACAGTCTAATGGTTAGATAAAAAAAAGTTCAAACCCAAGTTTTGGATAATGCAACCAACTAATTAGTCACCTGAGTAAGGCACCACATACCCCAAATAAATATATATATATATATATATATATATATATATATATATATATATATATATATATATATATATATATATATATATATATATATATAATTGGTTATGGAAAGGGAAACAACGGAGTCCGCTGTTTCTTTTCCTGCGATTTTATCAAGATTTATCTTATCCACGCTTTCATTGTGATTCATGAAATATATATATATATATATATATATATATATATATATATATATATATATATATATATATATATATATATATATATATATATATATATATATATATATATATATATATATATATATATATATATATATATATATATATATATATATATATATATATATATATATATATATATATATATATATATATATATATATATATATATATATTATATATACTGTACATCATTAAACAGTGCACTGTTAACGCCCTAGATACGTTTGGAAACGCGGAGTTAACCGAAATGGACGTTGTCCGATCATCACATAAACTTTTTATTTATACTTACGTGTATGTGGAATACTATATACATACATATACACTTTTACTCTTAAATCACTACTGTAATGTGATACAGGTGATTAATTTTTATCTCGTGCAAAATACATGACGTTTATATTAAAATTATTCACTGTTTTACAAGGATTCCAGTTGTGGGAGAGGGAGTGAGCGAGCGAGAGGGCGTGGGGGGAGGGGAGGTAGTACGTTTGACAGTTGGCACTGGCCCAAGGTCTAATGCGTGTACCTGTATATTTATCAGTTCTTAAGTGACTAAGCTTCTCTCTTATACAAAGCCAGTGACATGACCTGGGTGAATATAATTAACATTGTTGGGATTCTTGTAAGATACTGATTAATTTGAATATACACATGCTATAATTTGCACTAGACATAACAATTTTATTACCCTAATCAAATTAGTACATGTGCACTCCAGCTTTGCACTAAGGTCATTTATTTCTTTTACGTTTCTTTTAGTATGGTGTGTGCATGTAAATGGATGAAAATATATGAAGAAATTTATGTAAATCTACCCAAAAATACAGTTGAAAAATTTTATATTATAAATGTACTACAGTGCCAATAGCCCAGTTTGTTTGGTTTCGCCTTAGAAGCCTGTCCATCATGCATTGCCTTCGTTTACTGGTGTAGTCGTTGGGTTCCCATGGTGGTCAGGTCTTCCGCCTTTACTACCATTGGGGTCTTGCTGGAGCTCTGTAAGTATGTCTGCCAGATGCAGGGCTCCACCGCAGATTTTTCGTTTGGGGTTTACTCTCGTAGCCTTATACCTACCAAGGTTAATCCGCAAGGCAGCTGGGCAATGGTTGGTAGGTGCCAGTATGTGTCCACATGCCAGTGGGTCTGTGCATCATCCCACTGGGGCTCACTGCTACTCTAAGATCCCCTGCTGGTCTAGCCTGGACACACGAGGTAACCAGTTACAGTTTGTTGCCACGAGGAGGCACAGCAGGAGTCTTGATGGTGAGGAGGCTGTGTACTGGCAAGGAAGACTTATACAAGTTGCTTCCCTGCTCGCCATGAGGGCTACCCAGTGACGATAGCTCAAAGCAAGAGGAAGCAAGCAGTGCTTGCACCTTAACACTAACATAATGCTGCCACACTAAATGCATTTCACCACCCTGTGTGTGAACACACACACACACACACACACACACACACACACACACACACACACACACATGGGAATTAAGACAACACGCATCTACTGAGGGTCTTGTTGACTGCATGGAGGCAAATTGAAATATTACTTGTTGAGAAGCTTATCGCTTGGCAACACTGGTGCATGTTAGCACTCCTTTCCACTCCATCTCTTTAATCACCCACACCTTTCTATAATTTTATGTAATGTAATGCTGAAGGAATACAACCTTGCTTACTTATACTTATCACAATCTCCCTAAAAATACTTTTGGTTTCGTGTTTATTCAAGACATCATGAGACCCACTAATCCCCTATCCAAGAAAGGGTTACCTGATATTCCATCAGAATGTCCCTTCCAAAAGTACTTAAACTTTCATCTTTATTTGAGACATTTTCAGAAAATCTCTCGGTTTTCACCCTTGGAAAATTTTTTCATAAACCCCCAGAAAATTGGAAAAATTTCGGCTTTGGGAATGATTTTCCGAGCAAATTTCAATTCTGACTATCGGAGATTTCCAGGCTTGAGGGGTTCTGGCTGACGGAGATATTACTTGTACATTGATTTCCAGATCATTTTTATCAAACCAGTCCTGGTATATTCTTTTGATCTGGCCGAGGGCCTCTGCAGGTTTTTGTCATGACAGTGTCGAGAATACCCCATTCGGCACTGGGATTTGGCTTGTTTGTTGTCGGGTTGTTTAAATTATCAGCCTATGTTTAAGCTGCTCTCTGAAAGCAGGTGAGGGCCCTAGATCTGAGCCCAGATCTAGGGCCTGAAGATTTAGTCTCCTAGACTTAATGACTACAGGGGGTCCCTGACTTACGAACGCCCACCAATACGAATGGGGTTAAACTTGAAATTTACAGTATTTTATTTACCTGAAGACTTACTTTTTTACATTCATTTACTGTATTTTGTCATTCTATTTCTTCTTTTGTCTTAAATCAAGTCATTTTAGATGTATATAAGGACTTAGGCTTTGATATAGTGGGATTTTAAACATTGTGTTTTAAGTATGGTGTGCATCCAGGGTGATTCAGCAATGAGCACATTAAATTGTAGGATGAAATTATTGAATAATTCTAAATCACAATGTCTCTATGGTAAAATGTCAGATTCTGTATAGTTTCTATGTTGCAATACATTGAAGATGTTTTATTAATGAGATTGAATTTGAAGTGAAACCCCCATAGGTTTTTGTTATCATTTATTCACAGATCTCTACAGTGTGACCCCTCTTTGTTACAACCTAATGGAAATGTTCAAAGTTGCCCCCTTCTGCCTCAATGCAGGCCTGTACTCGCCGTACCATTGATTGTCTGACGCGTTCCAGAATGCCTGGACTATGTTTGATGTGCTCGCACCTGTCACGAACACGTGAGCATATGCAGAATCTAACATTTTACCATAGAGACATTGTGGTTTAGAATTGTCCAAGGATTTCATCTTCCAATTTAATGTACTCTTTGCTGAATCACCCTGTGTGGCATGTGTTCCGACTTACGAACGTCCTCAGGAACAGAACCCATTCGTAACCCTGGGACCCCCTGTACTGAGATCCTCAATCCTATCTTGATTGTAAAATGGTCTCAAGATCAATCTACCATTTATCCCAGAAATAAGTGCTGTACTAATGTGGAAATTTGACATAATCATAGTTTTTCTTTAAGCACAGATGTACCTGGAGGGAAGCTCAGTGGTGAAGCAGAGCAATGAGACTGCCCTTAAATACTTCAAACGTGCTGCAGATCAGAACAATGCAGTTGGTCAGAGCGGCTTAGGCCTATTATACTTGCATGGTCGTGGAGTACCCCAGGACTACAAGTTGGCTTTTAAGTACTTCACACAGGCTGCTGAACAAGGATGGGTAGACGGACAACTCCAACTTGGCAACATGTACTTCAGTAAGTAATTTATAATTTAATATATCAAGTTAGGTGTGTTTGTAATGTGGCATCTGTCCAAGCAGGTCCATGTATAGTATCCCTTCAAATCTAAAGGTTTCAATCCAGGCTTGAACCCTCAACACTGATGGCTGCCATGAATATACAATCTGTACATCATCTCCATTGCATCTGTTTCCATTGGAAATGGAGATGGGGAGTGACAGTTCCCCAAAGTGCTGAGTGTGTGTAGATTTTGTTGCTTTTGAACCCAGTTTTTATTTGAAAATTTTTAGTGTAAGTCTAGGTGTCTTGTTGTGATGAGTCAGGTCTTCAAACTGAAAATTGCAGAACCTTTCCCAGATGGTAATAGATCTAAGATGCATGTTAGAGTTAGGAAAAATTACCAAAGAGAAGTCTAAATTTTTTATCAGGATGGTGCTGCTTCTCCTTTAGAATTAGTTGACTCCTTTTTTTAATACAGTGATATCCCCATTAGCCGGAACAAATGGTGCAGAGCACTTCCAGGGATGAGAGATTTCTGGGTAACCAGACGTCAAACCCCCAAAAATTCCTAATGCCTGGAATCATATCTGGCTGCTGGGAAAAGTTTCCAGTTGTCTAAACTAGACATATTGCACAGACATACAGTAGCCCACTTCCCCAGAACGTTTCTCGGTGCTGGATATGTTTTCTGAGAGTCTAAACTACTGGAGTCCGTAAAAGCAGTTCTAATTAAGTTAGAAACTCCATTTCCTTACTAGAATAATCCAAAATAGTTTATCTAAAAGTTTGATGAATATACAGTGACCCCTCGTTTAACGAACACCTCGGTTAACGTAATTTCGATTAACGAACTGCCTTCCATAAGGACCTTCAATTCGGTTAACGAAAAAAAATTCGCTTAACGAACTTATTACGAACCGACCTCAACATGTTTTCGCTTGCACTGACCGGGCAACCAGGTTTAGTATCAGTCCGCCAATACATTAATCGGTTCTAGGGCTTAAATTCCTTACTATTTTTGTAAATATCAAGATGTTTATACTATTCAATAATTTTAAAAGTTTAATATTCAATTTTTTAGTCATTTTAACAATTATTGAACAAAATTGAAGGTAAAGTGACTAGTTTAATGCGCGGCATCCAGCCTCTTAACACAGCAAACAGGCGTCAGTCTCTCTCTGTTTTCACTGGAGGTAACATCTTGCTTGAGACTCTCTTCAACTAAACGCTTTTTTTCTGTGTTTCCAAGCAAATTATTGGTCATTTTGAAATATATTTTATATATTGACAATATATAATGCAGTGCAGCGTTGATTTAAAGAAAATAATCTTGAATTAAACCAGAGAGCTAAAATTTTATGGATGAAATGGCACCATGGGGTGACTTCTCTTCCACCCCAATGCCTTCTCTTCTTCCTTCTCCTCCACCCCCATTCTAAATCCCATCATCATCATCATCATCCAGGAGCCTTCTACATACACACCTCAAAGTAAGTGAACTTTTCTACCATTTTGTTGAATTTAGGAAATTTTCGGTGAGCTGGAACCAATTACCCAAAAACCCATTGAAACAATGGTTTCGGTTAACGAACGTTTCGGTTAACGAACGACCTTCTGGAACGGATTGAGTTCGTTAACCGAGGGCCACTGTATACAGGTGGACCCTCCATTAACGAGCGGTTCAATTTACGAGATTTCAGTTAATAAGTTACCTCCCGTAAGGACTTTCAGTTCTATTAACGAGTACAAATTTTATTAATGACAGCCTTAGGAGAAACATGTTCTGGTGTGCCCATCAGCTGATCGACTTCTATGTTTACCTTTGTTTCCAGTGGAGTAAACATCAAGAAAGTTGTGCTCTTGAATATTTTTACATTTTTACTTTAAAATTATTGGTCATTCTAAAATTTAGTTAACTTATTGATAATATACAGTGCAGTGTTGGTTTAAGAAACCTCCCTAAGAAGCATTCCCAAAACAGGGTGAAGGTAGTTTTAGGCTTAAACTTTTTATCTTATAAAATGTCACAGACTAAAATTAGCAGAATATCACTTGCATTGATGGAATCCTTGGAAGACAGCAGATAATTTGAATATAGACATCATATATTTTGCACAAGAGATAAAATTTTTTTAACTAAAGTGTAGTACATTTTAGTTCAGTGGTCCCTCAGTTAACGAGGGCCTCGGTTAATGAGATTTTGGTTAACGAGTTACCTCCCATAAGATTCTTAACTTCGGTTAACGAGCAATCCCTCGATTAATGAGTTTCTTACGAGCCGACCTCAACATGTTTTCGCTTGCACTTGGCAGTCCACCAGCTGTAGTATTAGTCCGCCAATACAGTAATCGGTTCTAGGGCTTAAATTCCTTACTATTTTATTAAATATCAAGAAGTTTATACTATTCAGTAATTTTAAAAGTTTAATATTAAATTTTTTAGTAATTTTAACAATTATTGAACATAATTGAAGGTAAGGAAACTAGTTTTATGCGCGCCATTCAGCCTGGTAACACACCAAACAGGCGCCAGTCTGTCTGTCTTTTCAGTGGAGGTAACATCTTGCTTGAGACTATCTTCAACTAAACGCTTATTTCTGTGTTTCCAAGCAAATTATTGGTCATTTTGAAATTTATTTTACATATTGACAATATATAATGCAGTGCAATGTTGATTTAAAGAAAATAATCTTGAATTACACCAAGAGAACTAAAATTTTATGGGTGAAATGGCACCATGGGGTGACTTCTCTTCCACCCCAATGCCTTCTCTTCTCCCTTCTCCTCCACCCCCATTCTAATTCCCATCATCATCATCATCATCCAGGAGCCTTCTACATACACACCTCAAAGTAAGTGTACTTTTCTACCTTTTTTGTTGAATTTAGGCAATTTTCGGTGAGCTGGAACCAATTACCCAAAAACCCATTGAAACAATGGTTTAGGTTAACGAGTTTTTTGGTTAACGAGCAACCTTCTAGAACGGATTGTGCTTGTTAACCGAGGGACCACTGTAAATGAGTTTCAATAAATGAATAAAGTTACATATATCGAGCCAAAAATAATAGTTGAACATTTTTATGTAGACAGCTTGGATGGCTAAATTTTAGAATGACCAATAATTTTAATACAGTACTGTATAAAAAAAAATGCACAAATATTAAAGAGCACAATTTTCTTGATATTTACTCCAATGGAAACGAATGTAAACATAGAAGAGATTACTGAATTTGCTGAGTGCCTCCTCAGCTTATCAGCTGATGTTCAAAACAAAACGTGATTTTCGTAAGGATTTCGTTAATTGAATTTTTTTCGCTGCTAACCAAATTGAAGATTCTTATGGAAGGTAATTCGTTAACCGAGGCGTTAATTAACTGAGGGACCACTGTATAACTAGTATTATTATTAGATAATGAACCGTGGATAGTTGAAACCATGAATGGCAAGGCTCTGCTGTATTTAAAATTATTGTAAAGCTAATAAAAACCTTTTCCATGTTTTTTCATCTTGAAGGAATTAAAATCAGTATACAGTTGGGTCTCACTTTACGCAGTTAATATAACCCACAGGGTACCGCGGAAAGTGAGAAACGGGTAAAGTGAACAACATAACATATGGGATTAATTGAAATAGAGACCGGGCCGACCCCCAAACTCCACTTTTTGACGACACACAACTATGTTGTAGTATAAATATTATCTTAACTTTATGATGGTATGCACAAACAATTAATAATTAAGAGAAATATCAATAATATTAGGTTTTTTAACACTTACATTAGTAGAAAAGATGGTTGGGCACACGGGGAAGGGTGGTTGGTTACGAGGCAGAGGGCAGATTATTGGCTCTCACCTGTATCACTTGTATCAATTGTATCACTATCCACCACAGAGCCTTGCAGGGCCTCTTTGTCAAACCCCTCAAAGTCCATATAAGTCCATATCCTCACTATAATTATCACTATCACTGACTTGGGCCGGCTGTGGTGGGTGGCGGGTGAAGAACTTGGCAATGTTTTGATGACTGGGCGACCTTGTGCGCACCATGCTCACGCCGCTTACACAACATGGCGGAGGGCGGGAGAGATGGCGGGAGGTTTGGATCCAAAATTGGCGCAGCTCACCAGCCGCTCTCCGCGTAAAGGGGTACACGCACCGCGGAATGTGAGCATCTTGGGTTCCGGCAGGGCACCGCGTAAACGTGGAAACGCAGAATGTGGGACCGCGTAAAGTGAGGGTTGACTGTATAAATTCATTTGCAGAACTGGAGAGGCTCTATTGTATATTTTTGTGTATGGTTTAATAACATTTTAGTGACCGCTACCAGCACTATATAGCATTATATCTTCCTCAGGTGGATTAGGTGTACGAAGGGACTACAAAATGGCAATCAAATACTTTAATCTGGCATCTCAGTCAGGTCATGTTTTGGCCTTTTACAACCTTGCACAGATGCAGGCTTCAGGCACTGGGATGGTGAGATCTTGCCACACCAGTGTTGAGGTAAGTAAAAAGGGGATGGAAAATAAAACAGGCATCATTTAGGTTGTATGATGAAATTTCTCTGAAATCATTCAGTTGAGGGAGCTAAATGCTACAGAGTGATATTAAACTAGCCAGAATTTACCCTTTACAGGGCAGGCGTTTCTCTTGGCTGAATAAAATTGTCTGACATTAGCCAAACTAAAATACAAGGAGCTAAAATATAGTTTCTCAGATGAAGGAAAAATCCTGTGAATGGATTATTATAAGGTACAGTATTTATAATACAGATTATATACCTCTTAACACCGTTCTGTAGATCTATTACAAAAAGTACTGTGTTAAGCGAAACATGTTTCTCCATAGACTCACATGTTTTAAAACATGTCATTCCATGCCCATTGATTCAGACTTGGAGAAGTACCTTGGAGAGTTGAACCAAATATCCATATTCATTCTTTGTAATCCTATGCCTTATATTAAAATTGTACTTTCTATTCAGAATCTTACCATGTATGAAAATATATCTTCTTGTCTTTACCTCAAAAACATTGTAACCAGTTGGTATTTACAAAGACTGTTTTTCAAGCATGTACATTTATTCCTGGAGTGTGTAACCTTGTGATGTATGCAGTGTTCTTCTACTTTCTCTTCTCACTGTTCTGTGAGCACTACTTAGACAAGATGTACCACTATTCCAACTTCATGGTAGACCTTTTGACACCAGTCGTCACCGTTTCTGTTCTAGTCTTCTACCTTGGCTGGTTCAGGATAGCCAAGACAAAAAGTTGGATGGTCCATTATTATTTTTATTTGTATCCCTTTCATAAATACAGTGGTCCCTCAATTAACGAAATTTTGGTTAACGAATTACCTCCCATAAGGATCTTAAATTCGGTTAACGAACAAAACTTCATTTAACGAAATCTTTACGAAAAACACGTTTTGTTGTGAGCATCAGCCGATGGGCTAGTCTGCCAATTCAGTAATCTGTTGTATGTTTACATTTGTTTCCAGTGGAGTAAATATCAAGAAAATTGTGCTCTTTAATATTTTTGCATTTTTTATATTAAAATTATTAGTCATTTTCAAATTTAGTTAACATATTGATAATATATGCAGTACAGGGAACTAGTTTTTTGTGCGCCCATCAGCCGCTTGACTCACCCACCAGGTGTCAGTTTGGCTTTGTTTACAGTGGCATGAACATCGATTTTGTTGGTGTCTTGAATATTTTTGCATTTTTACATTAAAATATTGGTCCTTCTGAAATTTAGTTAGCATATTGATAATATATAGTGCAGTGCAGTGTTGATTTAAATAAAATAATCTTGAATTACACCTATTGAACTTAAAAAAAATTATTGGTGAAATTACTGCATCAAGCATGGGTCCCCACTTCCTTCTTTTCTCCTTTCTCCTCCATCCCCACTTCTCATTCCCATCATCATCATCAACCAGGAACCTTCTACATACACGCCTGTATAATTGATGTTGTGTTGGGAGGCAAAAACAACACTTTGACAAAGTCAAATCGAGCCTCCAAAGTGCTGGCAAGTTCAGGGTCATGACCAGGGGCATTATCCATATGGAGAAGAGCCTTTAAAGGAAGTTTATTGGTGATTAGGTAACTCTTCACAGAAGGGCAAAACACCTCAACTGCTCATTCATTAAAGAGCTGTCTTGTTATCCATGCCTTACGGTTGGACTTCCAATAAACTCCAAATTGTCCTCTTACCACCTTTTGTTGCTTGAACACCCTGGTGTTCTCAGAGTGGTGTATGAGCATAGGTTTCAGTTGGAAATCCCCTGAAACATTGGCACCAAGCAATAGAGTGAGACGGTCCTTCATTGGTTTATGCCCAGGTATAGAGGCTTCATCTCTGGTGATGAATGTCCTTTTGGGCATTTTCTTCCAGAACAGCCCATTTTCATCCACATTGAACACTTGCTGTGGAAGATAATTCTCCTCATCCATCAGTTCCTTGAACTCCACTACAAATTTTACTGCTCCTTCTTTATCTGCACTGGCAGCTTCACCATGCCTAACAACACTATAAATGTCACTTCTTTTCTTAAATTTATCGAACCAGCCCTTGCTGGCCCTAAAATCTTCAAAGTCAGTTTCAGAAGAACCAAGTTGATCTTCCTTCAAATGTTCGTATATTTCCTCTTTCACAAATAAATTCAGTAGAAATGGAAACTCCTTTCATTTGTTTTTTCTTTACTCCAAATAAGAAGTAACCTTTCTGTTTCTGCAATTAATGATCTACCTTTAAACATTCTGGTAGATTTATCTCTCACTTTCACTTCTTTAAATTTTTCTTTCTGTGCAAGGATTGTAGAAACAGTTGATGCCGACCTGCCATATTCTTTACTTAGTACATTGGTTCTAATGCTTTCTTCATGTTTCTTAATAATTTCCTGTTTCACTTGAATTAAAATTGCCTTTCTGGATTTCTTTGGACCCATGCTGGATTCAATACAGTAATTTCAACGCTAAAATTTTAAGTTCACTAGCTGTAATTAAAGATTATTATCTAAATTAAATCAACACTGCGCTGCGCTATACAGTGAACCCTCGCTTTACGCAGTCAATTGAACCCACGGAGGCCTGTGCAAAGTGAGAAAAGCGTAAAGTGAACAACATAACATATGGGATTAATTGAAATAGAGACCGGGCCGACCCACAAACTCCACTTTTTCCCGACACAATACCTATGTTCTAGTAAAAATAAAATCTTAATTTTATGATGGTATGCACTCACAATTAATATTTAAGAGAAGTAGAGAAATACAGTCGCCAAGTTAATGTCCATTCAAATAATGGACTCAACTCTCCCCCCCCCCTTCTCACACTCGCTGGCTCCTCCCTCTCTGAGAAATGTTTGGGGGAAACACTAGATTTTAAGGTATAGTAATAAATAATACCTCAAACTAAAGTTAGGATAATATAATTGACATTGCTGGATTCCTTGCAAGACCAGGAATATTTGAATATAATCGTCATATATTTTGCACAGAAGATAAAATTTTGGCTCTTTCTAATGAAAATTCTTACAATAGATCTTAAATTTGTTTGTCTAATGCAAATTCCATGATGTTTATATTTAAAATAATCACAATCTTATAAGAATTCCAGCAATGTAAATTATATTCTGGCCGGGTAATTTGTATGAATTTTATGAGCTAAAACAAATATCTTCAGTAAATAAACAAATTATACTTCACCCAGACACTATCTGTCAATCAAAATACCCCACCTCCACTCCCCCCCTCTTCCCACTCGCTGGGTCCCTCCCTCCCTACCAGAGAAATGTTTGGGTGAAAACACTAGGCTTACATTTTTAGTAATAAATAATACCTCAGACTAAAGTTAGGATAATATAATTGACATTGCTGGATTCCTTGCAAGACCAGGAATATTTGAATATAATCGTCATATATTTTGCACAAAAGATAAAATTTTGGCTCTTTCTAATGAAAATTCTTACAATAGATCTTAAATTTGTTGGTCTAATGCAAATTCCATGATGTTTATATTTAAAATAATCACAATCTTATAAGAATTCCAGCAATGTAAATTATATTCTGGCCGGGTAATTTGTATGAATTTTATGAGCTAAAACAAATATCTTCAGTAAATAAACAAATTATACTTCATCCACGTAAATGACCAAATTTACCGCGTAAATCAAGCATTTGAATTCTGGCAAAACGCGTAAACCAAAACAGCGTAAATCCAGACTCCACTGGACAATACAGTACAGATAAAGGAAATTTCTGTCTCAAGAATGGCTCCCTGTCCCAGCCGCAAAAATGCCAGCAACTTTAAAACTACCTTTAAAAATTCTTGGGTACATTCAGGGTGTCATCCGCGAATAATCGAGGTCCGTGAATTAAAAATCCGCAAATTTGAAGGGCATGCTGTACGTTTACATGTATGCTTGTTTCTACCACTTTCAGGGGTATCACTTGCAGCTTCCAGATATGCTTTCTGGTAAATGTCCTTCCACCATGTTTGTAAACCTGCGAAATTTCTGGGGTGTATTATTACTGTTGGTGACATGTGGCATCATTTTATGGCTCATGGCTATTCCAAGATATTTGAAATGGGGCTGAAAAGATTAAATTTGTTATGTTTAAGGTGTGATTTTTATTGTCCTTTCTTATAATTATTTTAATAATAATGCTCCTCTTTTGAGAATTTGCAGCCAGTAGGAGTAAATGTGTTCTAAAAGCAGAAGTTTTTCACTTACGTATTTTTCAAGTTTGAATTTCTCTGTTTTGTGCTTTTCGTTTACCCTTTTCCTTATTTTGCTTCAAGTTGTCCTACTATTTGCCTGTTTATAGAGTGGAATCTCTCAGCACTGCCATAACTCATATGATTAATTAATTTTTAAGAGAGCAGTTTTCCTTATGATGATGTTATTACAGTTGTTCAAGAATGTGGCAGAACGAGGACGTTGGGGAGAGATGCTGATGGAAGCTCATACGGCCTATTGGGATTCACGACATACACAAGCTCTAGTGACCTATATGTTGCTAGCAGAACTAGGTTATGAAGTGGCTCAAAGTAATGCTGCTTTTATTCTCGATCGACATGAAACAGAGCTTTTTAAACAAGGTGAAGGTTTTGCAAGAGCACTGATGTATTGGGGCCGAGCTGCTTCACAAGTGAGAACTGTTGTTATTCTGTTTGTCATATTGTTTACAGCAAAGTTACTCTTACAGAATTTTCTACATTTATTTCGTGTTTGGCACATTTTTGCATCTTCCATCAAGGATCCCCCACTGTATTTCTAATATCTTTTCGTTTTATTATTTGAGTACTTCACCTCTATTGACTAGATTCAACTCTTGAGCTTACACAAATGTTAAATCTTTAAACACACTAATATTTCATCTAAGGGCATTTTACAGTGCAGGTATAAAAAAACTAACATTTCATAAATTACTATTTTCTTTACAAATCCACCAGATATTGAGATATTTTAATATAAATCTATACCGGGGTCCCCAGGTTACGGACGGGTTCCGTTCCTGAGGATGTTATTAAGTTGGATTCGTACATAAGTCGAAACACATACTATGTGCATATCGTACTTACAGAACAATGTTTAAAGTTCCACTATATCATAACCTAAGTCCTTATATACATCTAAAATCACTTAATATAAGAGTAAAGATGAAATGGAATGACAAAATACAGTAAATGAAAATAAAAGATAAGTCATCGGGTAAATAAAATACTGTACTGTAAATTTAAAGTTGAGGATCCCCTGTACACTACATAGAGCAGGGGTTCCCAATCATTTTCCAGTGTAACCCCATCTATTGCTGTCGCCTATATAGTGCGACCCCGAGTCATTACATTAAATTTAAAGATTCGTAAAATAAATGCGGACATATTTTTACGCATATTTAACTGTAAAAACAAATAATGAAAATATATTACATAATTGAGAAGTTTAAAAGCAAACACTGGCAGAAAGAGGTTATAACTCTGTCATGATTATATCATCATCCAGTGTTTTTTACCTGGGAGTATAATTACGTGGTTAAGCAACATAACATACAGTTTTCTCAGTTCCAACTGTCATATTGTATATGTAACATGTGTGTTTAAACATTTAATAAATTTTCTGTTAACTGGGGGTATAATTATGTAGTTAAACAACATACTCTACTACTGTGTCATATTTCATATGACAACAGTAATCATTTTTTATACCAGAATGTTGAAAGCTCGATTTTTAGCAGCTGAATGTCTGATAAAGTAATCCCAAACATAGCTATGTCATCATAAACGCCAAAATTTACCCTTGCCATTGCTTCGTTTTCAGCCTATAGTTCTGACATTTTAAGTGCAAGAGACTCAGTAAGCAACTCATTGAAATTTGCTGCTATTTTTTGTGCACATCCTTGGGAAGTAGAGTGAACTGACCTAAGAACAGTTAAAAGGTCTACAGTATATAGGAGTGTGGAACTTCGGTTGTGAAACGTGTCACAGGGCAAGGAGAGTAACTGCGTTAATTCCTTGACCATAATTTATGGTCTCGACTTAATGAGACAGCACCTGTCGGCTGTGTCCTTCAGTCCTTGACACCTTGATTAAAAAGAAAGAAAAAATCACATGTGACCTCTGCAAGACCCAGGTGACCTCCTTGACCCCATTACCTCTATGCGATTCCTAATGACATAGAATATTGGTAGCTGGAGTGTGTATTCATCCGAGACACAAAGTGTACATACCATACAGACACACTTGGCTTATGTAGGTTAAACACCCTAATTTTCCTCTCACAAATTATTTATATATTTAAGAAATTACTATATCTTCTATGCAATATTTAACATAATTCTTTGTTAAGTTGAGTGAAAGAGCTTGTAGTAATAAGTTCAAGGGTGAATTCATTATTTATTATTTTCTGAGGATCTGTTGCATTTGTTTGTTTGTTGGTGAACACTTTATTTGTGAATGCTGGCTAAGATATTCTTAATGGCACCATTGAACTAACTGCTAGAGGCATGTCTTGAAGTCCATGTGTGGTACCACTTTTTTGCTGGGTCATTCTCTGTATTGATGCAAGAATATTATTATTTTAATTTATTAGACTAAATGATAGGAAAGATACAGGAAGTAAGCTATAAGGAAAGCAACCACAAACTTTTTTTTGACATATTACGTATTAATACTTTTCTTGGAACTCTACACTATAATCAATCAGATCAAAACTTTACATTTCCTGAATGTGGATGTTGTTCCGCATCAGCAGAAAAAAATATCTCAAAATCACCCAACACATCAAAAATTGGACATGTGGTGTAGATTAATATACTGTAATCTTTTTCTTTTCTTTTCTTTTTTAATTTCTTTTTACAATTATTTTTTTGCCTCCTAGGCCCCGTTGTGGGTCAATGACCTATGCCCGGGTGGGCTAATCCCCGTATAAAAAAAAAATATATCAAACAGGTATGTACTACCGCCTGGGAAGATATTGGAAGCATAATGTGTTGTCTTATGGTAGACCCTGCTGCCATATAGCATCATGAAAATTGTGACCAAATCCCAGGTTGCTGATATATATATATATATATATATATATATATATATATATATATATATATATATATATATATATATATATATATATATATATATATATATATATATATATATATATATATATATATATATATATATATATATATTATATATATATATATATATATATATATATATATATATATATATATATACACAGGTTGTACCTCTCTAGTCCGGCAACCATGGTACCTGACCGGTGCCGGACCATGGAAATTCACCCTTTTCCTGGATAGATAGTGACTTGTGCTTGTGCCTGGAAGCACTAGCACCACTTTCTCTGCGTCATGGTCTCTTTGAAGACATATTGAAGGGTTAAATGTCGTATAGTAGCTTCTCAAATTCCGCGAGTTTTTAATTCTTAACGTATTTTATTGGAACACACAAAAAGATAAATAAAAAAAAATTTTGACGGCGGAAACTTGAATTTCGACGGGTTTGAACGGCCCGCCAACGTGCAGACGATGTGCATAATCGTGTAAACAGGGTCATTTCTCTTATGTACAAAAGATACATTATTGTTTATTACTGAATGTCTTTTTTATTGAATTAATGTTTATGTGTGCAAAATGAGCAATAAAATTCATTAATAATACATAGAATATTAAAACACACGAGGAAATGACACAGCATTGTTTTTGTTGATTACAAAACCAGTGACTGACTGGTTCTACATATAAAACTGAAGAAAATAAGACCTTGGTTGTAGCTGTAGTAAAATTAATATGGTTGTTTTAAGTAATATTATTTAATGTTAATAAATGGAACAATAGAAGTAGCTAACGATAATGGTAAAGAAAAAAGAGAGATCGCATATGAAAGTGCGCATGCGCACACGTGAAAACATATCATCATTACTTTACATAAGAATATGAAAGCAACACTAATTTACTGTTCATATATATTTTAATTAATGTTTCTGAATTTGTTTTTATTGAATTAATGTACATGTGTGCAAAATTAACAATACAATTTATTAATAATACGTGGAATATAAGAGGAGACGAGACGGCTGCCGGCATTGTTTATGTTAAGCTTACGAAACCAGTGACCAATTGGTTCTACATATAAAACTGAAGAAAATAAGACCCTGATTGTAGCTGTAGTAAAATTAATGTAAAAAATGAATATGGTTGCTTAAAGTACCTGTAATTTTATTTAATGTTAATAAATGGAACAATATAAGTAGCTAACCATTAATGGTAAAAAAAAAGTGAGACTGCTCGTATGTAAGTGCGCACATGTGAAAATATATCGTCATTACTCTACATAAGAATATGAAAGCAACACTTATTTACTGCTCATATATATTGAAGGGTTAAATGTTGTACTCTGTATAGACAAGCAGATTCAGATTTCAGATTTGCCCCCAAGGGGGCTAGTTTATTGGGCACCCCCTTACATCCTGTGCAAGGTGAAGCGCAGAAGCGTTTACAGCGCCCAACAGGGAAGTATGAAAAGTTCATACTTGCCTTTATGACTCGTACATTAAGGGCGTAAAAGCCTGAAGGGTCATAGGTTCTGTCAAGTTACATAAAGTGAGAGAATGATGAGTGTGTGGGGGGAAAGTTCCCGGTACATTTTATCTGTTTATGGCAAAGAGTGGCAGGTCCCTAATAATGTCAAATGCCAGGCCTGTGACTAGGAGGAGGGATATCTGGTCTGGGAGGGAAGAGGTGTTGGTAACGGCTGGGATAGACAAGCAGAGAGAGAGATTGAGTGCAGCCGAACTGCCGTATGTAAACAAATCTTAATTTCCCGGGGCTTTTTTGTTTTTTGTTTTAAGGGGATTAGCCCACCCGGGCATAGGTCACTGACCCACATTGGGGCCTGAGGGGCAAAAATTTAATACTCCTGTAATAATAATAATAATTCAGAGAAGTAAAAAAAAAAAAAAAAAAATCTGCCTATCTACCTATTGACAAACTAAAATCGTTCCGGACCACGGGAGTTTCCGGACCACAAATGCCCCCTTCCGCCCCTCCGCTGCCGCGCCGGTAAGGCTATGAGTGTGTTTTGTTATACATCACTGACGCTATATGACGATCAGACCAGGATGGGCTGGCGCATCCCTACCCCCTCTGCTGCTAGCTGTAATTGGGCTTAGTATTATGACGGTCCACCCGGGAAGGAGGAGGGAGGAAAGACGACGCTTGACCTAGCTGCTGCAGTGCTTCATCCTCACACTCCGCGTAAACGCCAAGATCCATTGTACGGCTTCCACGACCACCCCCAGAGAGAAACCTTTCCTTACCTGGACCCAGCGGCACTAAGCCAAAGAAGACACAACGTTCCTTAAGCTACGAGGTGAAGTATACCATCATCCAAGAGTTGGAGAAAGGAACAAGGCAGGTTGATTTGGCGCGCCAGCATGGTGTGAACGAATCTACGATCCGGACTATAAAGAAGGATTCAGCCAAGATAAAGGAGCACATGAAGATCACAAAGTCTACAGGTGCTTCTATGATCAAGTATTTTCACAACCAGGTGCTTCTCAAGACAGAAAAATTACTTGTGAGGTACTTGGTGCATCAGGCGCGACGGAACATGGCGGTCGACACTCGCTCTGTGAAGGACTACGCACGTGAACTGTACATGGCAGTGGCACGAAAGATGGGAATTACAGAGCCCAAACCCTTTAATGCTTCCTCTGGGTGGTTACAGAGGTTTAAGATCCGGAACAAGATCACCAATATAAACATTGGTGGTGAAGAAGCGAGTGCTGATCGTGTTGCGGCTCGGGAATTTCCTCCGTTTTTACGTGAGATTATGGAGGAAGGACAGTACAGTGACGACCAGGTGTTTAACATGGACGAATCTGGTCTTTTCTGGAAAAAGCTACCTTCCAAGTCCTTCGTTGTGAAGAATGCCAGCAGGATTCGGGGCCGGAAAATGCAGAAGGAACGCATCACCGTCCTGTTTACCACCAATGCCTCCGGTACCTGTAAGCTCAAGTTATCGGTGATCCACACAGCCCGCAAGCCGCACGCCTACAAGAGCCTGGACATGACCAAGCTAAATGTCCACTGGCTGACCGCACGTAAGGCATGGATGTTCTCTACACTCTCCCTCTCCTGGTTTGATGACTGTTTTGTTCCCGATGTAAAGAAATTCTGTGAGCGACAGAATGTCCCATTTAATATTTTGTTGCTGCTGGACAACGCACCAGGACACTCGCCCCTACTGTTAGATCGTCACTCCAACGTAAAAGTGGTCTTCCTTCCTCCCAACACTACGTCTTTAATCCAGCCCATGGACCAGGAGTTGATTTGCAGTGTGAAAGCTGCATTCTCAACAAAAAAATTCCAGCTCCTGAACGACTACACCAACACCAGGGAAGAGTTGCGTAACCTGAGTGACACCACCACCGATAGCAAGAGCGAAGAAGATGAGGATCAACAGTTAGAACAGCAAAAAATACTCTTCAAACAATTCTGGAGAGTATTTAACATCAAGAAAACTGTGGACTTCTTGGTGGAGTCATGGGATCAGCTGTCTATTGCTACAATTCATCACGCATGGAGACATGTGTTGCATGGAATACCAGGTGAGAGGAGGAGTCAATCTGTGACTGGTGAGGTTCAGAATGTTGCAGTAGCAGTGGACCTTGCCAGAGAAGCTGCGCAGACTGTTACAGTTCCAGGCTTCTCCGAGACCACCAACGACGACATCCTGGAGGTGATCAGAGAACCTGAAGTGACTGCCGACGAGATGTTGGAAGAAGAACACGTCAGTGAAGAGGAGGAAGAAGGTGCGTCAGTCTCCGAAGAACACAATTTAAGTCATAGTGATATTAAGGGTGCCATGGAGTGTGCAGAGAAGATGAAGTCCTTCCTTTCCCGCGACAATGACGATGACCGCTATGAAGTCTTCCATACCCAGCTGGTGCAGGCTATGGAGCCGTACATCAAGGTGTATCACGACAACATCAACGCCAGCCGTCAGCAAAGCATAACAGATTTCTTCGCCCGCAACCCACCACAGCCAGCCCAAGCCAGTGATAGTGACAGTGAAGGTGACTTTGAGGGATTTATCAGGGAAGCCCTGACAACTGTAAGTGACAGTGATGGTGATTCACCTAGTAATGGTGATTCACCTGAGGGCCAGTAATCTGCCCTCTGCCTCGGAACCAGCCTCCATCCCCGTATGCTGACCCATCTCTTCTACTACCGTAAGTGTTACACCTAATTTTTAGTTTTCTAACCTTACCTTTATTTTTCCTATGTTAACCTTTATCTTTCCTAACCTAACCTCTTCTATATTACTTGTTTTTTCATACCATCATAAAGTTAAGATAAAATTTTCACTACAACATAGTTGTGTGTCGTCAAAAAGTGGAGTTTGGGGATCGGCCCGGACTCCATTTCAATTAATCCCATATGTTATGTTATTCACTTTACGCGTTCCTCACTTTCCGCGGTACCCTCCGGGTTACATTAACCGCGTAAAGTGAGGGTTAACTGTATAAGGAATAGCCCAAGTTTGAATGTAAATGGAAGTGTTTATTGTATTCCATGTAGCAAATGTAATTGTAATTATGTAGGACAGACAGGAAAAACACTGCAGCTCAGAATCAAACAACATAAGTATAATATCAGAACAGCATCTGAAAGCAGTGCCTTGTTCGTTCATGTTAGGAATAATAATCACCCCATTGCTTGGGAAAAAAGCTTAGAAGTATTTAAATCATTTTGTGTCACAGAAAGACTTCTGGTTGAAGCTAGTTTGATAAAGGAATTAAAATCAATAAACCTTAGTGATGGTCAGTTCAAAACTGATAATATGTTACATAAATTTATTTGTCAGTGCCCCAAGGTTAAAAATGCTTTGAAAACCTTTGATCTAGATGTATGATAGTTATTTTGTGGGTCCCTTATTTTTGACCTGACCTGACTAGTCACGTCACCCCCCTTCTCTTAAGCTCCTCTACGTGTGTGTTGGTGTGGAGATTAGTGGATGACATCATTATGACCTGACCTCATGTTTTTAAGGTCACCCTGTATATTTAAGCCTCTCTCTGTCCATGTAATCCAGTTGCCTCTGAAGATGTCTTGAATAAAGACGAAAGCTAAGGTGCTCCGTTGTTTCCATTTTCCCGTGTGATTTTATCAAGATTTATCTTATCCACGTTTTCATTGTGATTTATGAAATATATATATATATATATATATATATATATATATATATATATATATATATATATATATATATATATATATATATATATATATATATATATATATATATATATATATATATATATATATATATATATATATATATATATATATATATATATATATATATATATATATATATATATATATATAGTAGGGATACAATGAATATATAGTAATTGTATTTTTTATGCTTACTAACAGCTCTAAACAATTTTATTTTTGAACCTAGGGCTATGCTGTAGCCCGGGTGAAGCTGGGAGACTACCATTACTATGGCTATGGAACCTCAGTTGATTATGAAACAGCTGCTGCACACTACAGGCTGGCTTCTGAACAACAACACAATGCTCAGGCCATGTTCAACTTGGGATATATGCATGAACAAGGTTTAGGACTCAAACAGGTATTGTAGCATTTGGTTCACTATAGTCATTGCAAAGCTATTGCATTAATTAAACTAATATATATATAGAGTTTTGTTTAATCTTTCCGGCCTCAGAAAGAAGAAAAGTTTGAATTATCAGTTAGTAGAAATTGAGTTATCCCATACTCATGTTGAGTGAAACAAAGCATGTCTTTATCTTTACTTTTTTACCTTATTATTATTGTTTTTGTTTATTAAAGTGATTTTTATGAGAGTCTTCTGTACATTAGATATGCTTTGATACAGCTTCAGCCATTAACACTTTGAAACTTCAGAGGTCAGTTACTCAGTCAATGGTCATTCTCTACCTACCCTGTCTTGGACTTACAAGATCAGGCCTTGATTCATCATAATCTTCACATTTAGTAATAAACCAAACTTAAAATGTCCTTTTGTTAATGCATTCAATATTTTTTGCTATCTGCTCACTAGCCACATCACACATACTCTACTTTTAAACTGCACACAGTGGCCTTTTTTCTTTTTTTTTTAGCCGCTGCTGTATTATGCTTGATTAGTTACCTGTCAGATGAAGCAATAACCATTAGACCATAAGAATATGAAAGCAACACTTATTTACTGTTCATATATATTTTAATTAATGTTTCTGAATTTGTTTTTATTGAACTAATGTTTGTGTGTGCAAAATTAACAATACAATTTATTAATAATACGTGGAATATTAGAGGAGACGAGACGGCTGCCGGCATTGTTTATGTTAAAGCTTACAAAACCAGTGACTGATTGGTTCTACATATAAAACTGAAGAAAATAAGACCCTGATTTTAGCTGTAGTAAAATTAATGTAAAACAATTAATATGGTTGTTTGAAGTACCTGTAATGTTATTTAATGTTAATACAAGTAAATGGAACAATATAAGTAGCTAACCATTAATGGTAAAAAAAAAAGTGAGACTGCTCATATGTAAGTGCGCACATGTGGAAATATATCGTCATTGCTCTACATAAGAATATGAAAGCAACACTTATTTACTGCTCATATATATTGAAGGGTTAAATGTTGTACTCTGTATAGACAAGCAGAGAGAGAGAGAGCAGCCGAAGTGCCGGATGTAAACAAACCTTAATTTCCCGCGGCTTTTTTTTTTTTTAAGGGGATTAGCCCACCCGGGCATAGGTCACTGACCCACATTGGGGCCTGAGGGGCAAAAATTTAATACTCCTGTAATAATAATAATAATTCAGAGAAATAAAAAAAAGAAAAAAAAAGAAAAAAGCTGCCTATCTACCTATTGGACAAACTAAAATCGTTCCGGACCACGGGAGTTTCCGGACCACAGAATGCCGGACTAGAGAGGTACAACCTGTATATATATATATATATATATATATATATATATATATATATATATATATACAGTAATACCCCGCTTAACACGGTTTCGCTTTGCGCGATTTCACGTATACGAGGTGCCTCGCCAGAGCTGAACTTTCACTTAACGCGGGTTTTTTCCACGTATACGCGCAGAGTGTCCGGCTCGAGAGCTATTTTTAGATTCGCCCCACCTGCCACCCTGCCTGCCTGCCTGTTTTAGCTCATAAAATTCATACAAATTACCCGGCCAGAATATAATTTACATTGCTGGAATTCTTACAATATGATGATCATTTTGAATATAAACATCATAGATTTTGCATTAGACATACAAATTTTAGATAAAATGTTTACTCTGAGTAAATATGTTATTTTTTGTGCAAAATATATGACATTTGTATTCAAAATATTCCTGGTCTTACAAGGAATCCAGCAATGTCAATTATATTATCCTAACTTTAGTTTGAGGTATTATTTATTACTAAAAAGTTAAATATTCTGGTTTTCCCACACATCTCCTTGGGACGGTTGGTGGGGGGTGGGGGGGAGGGAGGGACCGACCGACCATCTGTTACCCCGTGAAGAATTTTTTTTTTTTTTATTAACTGAAGATATTTGTTTTAGCTCATAAAATTTATACAAATTACCCGGTCAGAATATAATTTACATTGCTGGAATTCTTATAATTTGATGATCATTTTGAATATAAACATCATAGATTTTGCATTAGACATACAAATTTTAGATGTAATGTTTACTCTGAGTAAATATGTTATCTTTTGTGCAAAATATATGACATTTATATTCAAAATATTCCTGGTCTTACAAGGAATCCAGCAATGTCAATTATATTATCCTAACTTTAATCTGAGGTATTATTTAATACAAAATGTTAAAATTTAGTTTTTTCACCCAACATCTCTTGAAGGGAGGATTGGTGGGGGGTGGGGGGGAGGGTTGGGACGGACCATGCGGTTGGAAGAAGGGGGGAGGCAAGGTGGGGTACTTTGATTGACAGATAGTGTCTTGAAGAATATTTTTTTATTATTAACTGAAGATATTTGTTTTAGCTCATAAAATTCATACAAATTACCCAGCCAGAATATAATTTACATTGCTGGAATTCTTACAATTTGGTGATCATTTTGAATATAAACATCATAAATTTTGCATTAGACATACAAATTTTAGATATAATGTTTACTCTGAGTAAATATGTTATCTTTTGTGCAAAATATATGACATTTATATTCAAAATATTCCTGGTCTTACAAGGAATCCAGCAATGTCAATTGTATTATCCTAACTTTAGTTTGAGGTATTATTTATAAAAATTTAGTGGTTTTCCCCCAAAAATTTCTCTGAGAGGGAAGAGCCAGCGAGTGTAGTGTGAGAGAGGGAGGGAGTCGAGTCCATTATTTGAATGGACATTAACTTGGCGACTGTATTTCTCTTAAGTATTAATTGTGTGCATGTACCATCATAAAATTAAGATGTTATTTTTACTACAACATAGGTATGTGCCTTCAAAAAGTGGAGTTTGGGGGGTCGGGCCGGTTTCTATTGGAATTAATCCCATATGTTCTGTTGTTCACTTAACGCGGATTTCACTTAACGCGGGACCCTCTGGGTTCAATTGACTGCGTTAAGTGGGGTACAACTGTATATATATATATATATATATATATATATATATATATATATATATATATATATATATATATCGTACTTCAATACAGTACAGTGATGTCCCTATTTGCCGGAATAATTGGTGCAGAGCACTTCCGGGGATGAAAGATTTCTGGCTAACCAGATGACTTTGTCAAACCCGGAAAAATTCATTATTCCCGGAATCTTTTACAGTTACTGGAAACAGTATCCTGGTGTCTAAGACATCTTGCACAGACAGACACTAGCCAACTTCCCCAGTGAGTTTCTGGGTTCTGGGGATGTTTTCATTGAGTCTAAACTATCGGTGTCCATAAATACAGTCCTAATTATGTTAGAAACTCCATTTTTTTACTATAATAATCCAGAATAGTTTATCAAAAAGTTTGGTTAAATAAGTACACTACAGTTAACCCTCACTTTACGCGGTCCCACATTCCGCGTTTCCACGTTTACGCGGTGCCCTGCCGGAACCCAGGATGCTCACATTCCCCAGTGCGTGTACCCCTTTACTCGGAGAGCGCGGCTGGCGAGCCGCGCCATTTTTGGATCCAAACCTCCTGCCATCCGCCATGTTGTGTAAGCTGCGCGAACATGGTGCGCACAAGGTCGCCCAGTCATCAAAACATTACCAGTTCTTCACCCCCCACCCACCACAGCCGGCCCAAGTCAGTGATAGTGATAATTATGGTGAGGATATGGACTTTGGGGAGTTTGACAAAGAGGCCCTGCAAGCCTCTGTGGTGGATAGTGATACAATTGATACAAGTGACACAGGTGAGGGCCAATAATCTGCCCTCTGCCTCGGAACCAACCGCCCATCCCCGTGTGCCCAGCCATTTTTTCTACTAATGTAAGTGTTAAAAACCTAATATTATTGATATTTCTCTTAATTATTAATTGTGTGTGCATACCATCATAAAGTTAAGATAATATTTTTACTACAACATAGTTGTGTGTCGTCAAAAAGTGGAGTTTGGGGATCGGCCCGGACTCCATTTCAATTAATCCCATATGTTATGTTATTCACTTTACGCGTTTCTCACTTTCCGCGGTACCCTCCGGGTTACATTAACCGCGTAAAGTGAGGGTTAACTGTATATTTAAAAATTAAAAACCTATATGATACGGGTGTGAATGGGACTTTGTGTTACAGCAAAGACTGGTATTTTCCATTCCCATGGAACTGTGGGGGATTAGTGGGTCTCGTGTAAGTGACCTGACCTGACACAATGTCAGGTGGAGGTAGGGTGGGGGAATAGTTGTCTCATAATACTGACCTGATGGAATGTCAGGTCACCCTTTCATGGGTGGGGGACTAGTGGGTCTTATGACCTGAAGATGTCTTGAATAAACATGAAAAATCTAAAGTATTTGTAGGGAGTTTGTGATAAGTATAAATGAGCGAAGTTGTATCCCTTCAACATTACATTACATAACATTTTTTAAATAAGTGAGAAAGCAGAAAGGTGTGGGTAATTAGAGAGATGGAGTGGAAGGGAGTGGTAATATGCACCAGTGTTGCCAAGTGCTCCTCAACAGCTGATATTTAACTCACTACCATGCAGTCACACAGGAAATTTGTCATCCAGTAAGACCCTCACTCCTCATGCTTGCTGTCTTCATTCCCTTATTGGTGTGTGTGTGTGTGGGGGGGGGGGGGTGTTGGAGTAATAATAATAATATTAATAATTAACGGTTTATTGAAAGAGCTTGTGTGAATGCATGGGGGTGTGCTGTTGGGGTGTGTGGGTGGTTGTTGGAGGGGGTCTGTGTGTGTGTGTGTATATGCATGGGGGTGTGATGTTGGAGTGTGTGGGTGGTTGTTGGAGACTGTGTGTGTGTGATGTGTGGGTAATGTAGGGTGAGGGTGGTGTTGGAGGGTGTGTGTGGGTGTGTGAGTGGTATTGGAGGGTGTGTGTGGGTAGTTCTTGGAGGGTGTGTGATGTGTGTCTAGAAGATTTTTATATACATGGAGAACTGATAAGCAGTTTCACACAAGTCTAACTGTTACCAGTTACATACTTTTTACATTTACTCTTTCAGGCTGGTTCTCTCTCTGGGCTCAGTCTGGGGTAAATACACATGTCCTGTACATGGCAGACTTGGGAAAAACGGCAGTTCCTCTCTTTCTCTCTCTAAAGTTGTATCATGTTATTACATATTTTCACTGACGAAGAATCCCAAATATGTTAAAATTTTCAAGTAAATCTTTGCGGGCTCCATAATATGGTTTGGTCTACTGGTTGGGGACCACTGCTACACTATATAATGATACAGTCAACCCTCACTTTACGCGGTTAATGTAACCCACAGGGTACCGCGGAAAGTGAGAAACGCGTAAAGTGAATAACATAACATATGGGATTAAATGAAATAGAGACCAGCTGACCCCCAAACTCCACTTTTTCCAACACAATACCTATGTTCTAGTAAAAATAACATCTTAATTTTATGATGGTACATGCACACAATTAATACTTAAGAGAAATAGAGAAATACAGTCGCCAAGTTAATGTCCATTCAAATAATGGACACGACTCCCTCCCCCCTCTTCTCACACTACACTGCTGGCTCTTCCCTCTGAGAAATTTTGGGGGGAAAACCAGGTATAGTAATAAATAATACCTCAAACTAAAGTTAGGATAATATAATTGACATTGCTGGATTCCTTGTAAGACCAGGAATATTTTGAATATAAATGTCATATATTTTTCACAAAAGATAACATATTTACTCAGATTAAACATTTTATCTAAAATTTGTATGTCTAATGCAAAATATATGATGTTTATATTCAAAATGATCACCAAATTGTAAGAATTCCAGCAATGTAAATTATATTCTGGCCGGGTAATTTGTATGAATTTTATGAGCTAAAACAAATATCTTCAGTTAATAAAAAAAAAAATATTCTTCACGACACTATCTGTCAATCAAAGTACCCCACCTTGCCTCCCCCCTCTTCCAACCGCGCGGTCAGTCCCAACCCTCCCCCCACCCCCCACCAATCCTCCCTTCAAGAGATGTTGGGTGAAAAAAATAAATTTTAACATTTTGTATTAAATAATACCTCAGATTAAAGTTAGGATAATATAATTGACATTGCTGGATTCCTTGTAAGACCAGGAATATTTTGAATATAAACGTCATATATTTTGCACAAAAGATAACATACTTACTCAGAGTGAACATTTTATCTAAAAATTTTATGTCTAATGCAAAATATATGATGTTTATATTCAAAATGATCATCAAATTGTAAGAATTCCAGCAATGTAAATTATATTCTGGCCCGGTAATTTGTATGAATTTTATGAGCTAAAATAAAAATCTTCAGTTAATAAAAAAAAAATATTCTTCACACGGTAACAGATGGTCGGTCGCCGGTCCCTCCCTCCTCCCCCCACCAACGTCCCTACTAGATAAATGTGTGGGAATACCAGACTGTTTACCTTTTTAGTAATAAATAATAAATCAGACTAAAGTTAGGATAATATAATTGACATTGCTGGATTCCTTGTAAGACAAGGAATATTTTGAATATAAATATCATATATTTTGCACAAAAGATAACATATTTACTCAAGAGTAAACATTATATCTAAAATTTGTATGTCTAATGCAAAATCTATGATTTTTATATTCAAAATGATCATCAAATTGTAAGAACTCCAGCAATGTAAATTATATTCTGGCCGGATAATTTGTATGAATTTTATGAGCTAAATAAAAAAATTATACTTCACCGTGTAAAGGGGTACACCCACCGCGGAATATGAGCATCCTGGGTTCTGGCAGGGCACCGCGTAAACGTGGAAACGCGGAATGTGGGACCGCGTAAAGTGAGGGTTGACTGTATAAGATTTCCAATTTGCATGATAACAAACATAACACAGTTTGAAAAAGCAATTTCTCATACATGAATTTTTTGGTTATATGACTCAATTTATTTTCACAGGATATGCACCTAGCCAAGCGGTTCTATGACATGGCTGCAGAAGCCAGTGCTGATGCCCAGGTGCCTGTAGCATTAGCCCTAGCTAAGCTGGCATTTCTCTTTTCCTTCAAGTATTTTGAGGATGTAAGTAATGACAAAGCTGGAGGAGGTAGCACTTATAAGTAATAACCCAGCCTGAGATAATCACTTGGTTTTGGTGATTAGATTTGTTTATGAAGAATTTGCATTTGTTTTTTTTTTTTCTTTTTTCTTTTCCCTTTTCCCTTTTTTGCAATGCATATATTAAAAACCCACAATTTGACTTTTTTTAGGGACTGTTACTTAATTGAGATATAATTTGTTTGCCCCGGTAGATACTGTAAATGTTCTGGGGTTGTGGGTGTATTAGGAGAAATATTTATGGGTATTTGCAGTGCATCTTCAATAAATTGTTTTAATGGAGTAGGTTTGTGATGTTAATGCAGTTCTCATTCATAACTGCTTAAATAAATAAATATACATATTTTTCTTCTATTTTTCAGTTTCAGTGGTTGGATATAGATGAGAATAACATAGAGGAAATACTTGGCCCAGATTGGGACATCTACCTCATGGCAGTCCTCTCAGTCATCATTGCCACCCTCATACTCTTCAGAAGACCTCCACCTCCTATGGCTGTGTGAAATTTAGAATTATTAAATTGTTATAAGGCTGTTAGATACAGAGAAGTTAAGAGTAAAGAAAGACATGGCAGTGAATAGGATATCCAGGTTATATGACATTTTTATGAATTATGGAATTCTCTTATATCTTCTCAAAATGGGAAAGTTCAGTTAACAACCTTACAAGATACAGCTTTTAGGCAGATGAATATGATGCCTTACTGCAATATTTGGAGTGTAGTGGTTGTGTGGTAAGTGAAGATAATTTTAATCTCCACAGTGATATTACTTTAAAAAATGAAAACACTAAAGACAGAAGGTACAGTATATTCACAACCAATGCTTGTTGTTCCACACCTGAGAAAGATTAATCTGTACAGCTGAGGGAATACAGTCAGGTCATAAATCATCAATCTGATGTGGTCTGTATTCTGGTTACATATTAATTTTAATGTTTTGGGTAATTTATTTGTGATCCTTAAACGTTGCATAAAAGTACTACTTTCATAATGATGTAAATTTCCTTTTGTTTTCTTTGTATAACTTCTTTCTGCAAGAAGAACAAGATGAAACTATTGTTTGTTCTGCCATTTGTTTCTTGCTATCCCACAGGTGAAAAGTCTCTCTCTCTCTCATATATATATATATATATATATATATA